AAGCCGGCAATTCGAACTAAAGATCCATATTTTTCAGAAAAGACTGCGCACAGGAATAATCAGCCCATATAGCACGCACACACAGCCGCAATGATGAACAACCCTTTTCATTTGCAACACGATCATCCGCCGCAGAACGTGGCACATCCGTTCATGCAACAGCCGAGTGCCGCCGGCCCAGGAGCTCCTCCGGCCACCTACAGCTACTTAGCGCAGCCAGCTGGCCAGCAACCGCAGTGGATGACCACCACCTACCAGATCCTGCCACCCAGCACAGGACCTGCCACGGTGGCCAAGCGCTACTATGCCACCACTGGGCCGCAGACCACGCATCCAACACATCCCAGCACCATCCAGATCACCAATAGTTTCGCTCAGCAGGCAACGCCACCGAAGCAACAGGCGGCAACAAACTGCAGCCCTTTCAAAGCCAACAACATACGCATCATCTCGACGGCGCCAAGTGTATACAGTCTGAACAAGTCGCCGCAGGAAGCGCACTCCATCTATGCGCCCGTTCAGTCTTACTACTTACCCAGTGGCGGTAGCCAAGCTGCAGGCCAAATTAATCTGCTGGCGACCAGCGGAACGGGCAAGCAACTGCAGCCGCCACCGCTGGTGCCTGTGACCAATTCGTCCTCACCGCCCTCCACCGTCGTGTTAGACCGCATAAACATTTGCATCAATAACCACTATACGGAGACTCCCACTTCGCTAAGTTCATCGCTTAGCACCGCCCAACAACCTTCGCCCATCATACCGGCCATCCAGCACAAGGCCATCCTGCCCCTCATCGACAGCAGCACGGCGGATAGCAGCAGCTGCAGCAGTAGCTCTGTATCCAGCAGCAGTTATAGTGGCACCGCGACCACCTCAGCAGCAGTGGTGATTGTGGATGAGCCGGATTCGACAACCACAACGCCACAGACACCACCAACTACGCCGGAGGCGATGAGTTCACCCGGTAAAGATTCACCCTCGCCTCCGCTACTAGCCACGCAATCGCTGCTCAAAGGCGTCAACTCAATGAAGCCAAGCTTTAAGACCGTCGAAGCAGCACCGCTAACGCCGCCAACTCCTCCATCACCTCCACCGCCGGCACCACCAGTTGCCGCTCCGTCGCCAGCGGTCACATATGCGCTCCAGGAGGATGTCTTTATCAAATGCAACGATGGCAGGTTTTACCTGGGAACCATTATTGACCAGACAACCGATCAATATCTTATCCGTTTTGATGATCAGTCGGAGCAATGGTGTGAACCGGATAAGCTGCGCAAGCTGGGAGGCGGCAGCTCGGTTACCGCTGGCGGAGCGGGTGCCTCCAGTTCGGACTCATCACATACCTCACCCAGTGGACCCATGTGTGTGGCCTGCAAGCGATCGGATGTTGAAGACGTGGTCGAAATATGTGAGCGCTGCGGACGTGGTTATCATCGTGGTTGCACCGTTGAAATTGTTACTGGTAGCGGAATTTGGAGCTGCAAACGCTGCGCTAAACCCATGAAAATGCAACAGCCCGTCAGCCATAAGATCACAAAACCTGCCGGAATTTGTCGCCAGTTGCCCTACCATGTGAGTATTCTACGAACCTAAGCCAGCGAATTAGTTTTCTAATCCGGTTTAACCTACAGGCGGATAAGCTCAGCTGGGATGAGAAGCATCGGGTCAACGAAGAGCAGATCTACTGTTACTGCGGCAAGCCGGGTAAATTCGATCACAACATGCTGCAGTGCTGCAAATGTCGGAACTGGTTCCACACACAATGCATGCAGAACTTCAAGAAGAAGCTGCTGCGCGGCGATATGTACGTATTCAATAGCTTTTCTGTGATCTAAACTTTAATGAATCTCATTTTGTAGGTTCTTTGTGTTCTGCTGCACGGTCTGTAACAATGGCATGGAGTTCGTCCGCCGCATGCAAATCGACTGGGTGGACGTGCTCCACATTGCACTCTACAATCTGCGGAAGCATCAGCACCAGAAGTACCATCACCTGCTAAATGACATTTGGCCCTTCATACTCGAGCAGCGCAACCAGCTGCCTATCTGCGAACAGTGGCGCACACTGCCGGAGACGACATTGATGGAGCGTCTCAAGCAAACCCTTAAAGACTACTCCGACAGATTTGTTTGTGGGAGGGAGTTTAAAAGAGCTCCGGCCTTCTATGCACTGCGACACAGTGGCCCGCCACACATTCCCAAGGTATTCCTTGAGCAACACGAGGAGCTGTCCGATGAGCTGCTCGTAAAAAAGTTTAAACTCATGCTCATGCCCGAGGAGCCTGAAGGAGGAAGTACCAGCGAACTTCCGAAACGAGCTCCCAAAGATGTGTATGAGTTTAATACAGATGAAGATGACCCAGTCGAAACCAGCGAGGACGAAATACCCATCAAACAGATCATCGAGAAGGCTAAAAAGCAGGCCGCTCAGAAGGCCGATGAGCATGATGAGTTGCCACTGAAACCGGACCTCGACGACGACAATGCCAACGATGGCGATCCCGGCAAACTACCAGCCCCCATTCCACCGCTGCTGGACGCAAACAGCAGTCGCAAACGCAAGGCTTTCCGATTGTCCAAACGCTATGACAACAGCCGAAATCACTGTGATCTATCATCCGACGAGAACTCGAGTAGCAGTCGGGGAACCAGTTCGTTGGACCTCATCATACCACCGCCGGTCAACTTTCTGGGACGCAACAATCCCTTCCTTATGGCGACTCCCAAAAAGGCGTCGCAAGGACGAAGTATCGGTGTGGGAACTGGAGCTGGAGTTAATGGCATCATCAACAGCATTTTCAAGCTTAAGGGCACCTCCAAGGAGCAGCCGCGCATGGTGCGCACCATCAAGCGAAGACTGAGTGCCAAAGACATAACTATAGGGCCCAATCAGGAAGTGCGCAGACGACGCACTCGCCGCCTGACCACGGCCATTGAGGTAAGAGTTTCAAATGTGTGCTTATTACAGTGCTTTAACTGTTTTTCCGATTCCACTTAATAGGTCATCAGCACCACCACCATCAATCCCATACCTAGCCACTACCTTCCTATCTATGCCAAAGATCTGCAGCCACCCGCGCCGCCAATGGGAAAGCCTACACACGGGCGCCTATTGCGCCAGCGGCCACAGAAGCAGTCACCCAGCCAAAGCCGCCGCAACTCTACCAGCTCGACAGCAACCAGCAGCAGCAACAGCATTGGAACCCCAGGCCATTCCATGATGGATTTGAAACAGTCGGTGAACAAGTACTTTGGTGGCGCTATGAATCGCATAGATGCTGGTGAGCCGTTTGCCATTCGGGCCAAGCGACGCATGGGAAATGGACAGGTCCAGTATCTGGTGGAGTGGGGTGGAGATACTGCGACAACGGCGATTGCATTGATTGGAAACTGAACCCTTTGGCATACCGACTCATTATTAATTTTATATTTATCATTTCCATTATCATTTCTCTTCGTTATTGTGTATTAATGATCGCTGCCAACTGGGGGCCTCTTTATTTGTTAATGTTTAAAAGTTTATTACCAACCCACTGCCAAAATAGCAAAAGAATGTTCAAAATATTGGTTCAGCATTAGAGCGATACAATGTTAAATGGTAAAAAAACAAAAAAAAATGCAAAAAGCAACTAAATACAGGTTATAATTGTGCAATGGCAGTTAAGTGTTGCAGCAAAACTTAAACAAATTTCCACAAAATTGGTAAAAGTATTACAAGAATAATCTGGAAGCCTATGTAACATTCGCTGCTGAATGAAAACGTATTCAATAATGTCTATTAAAATGAAGATAATTCAGTTAAGATCAGTACTGTACTTTAGCGATACACCCATGTATATTTTTGAAAAGTATACATTAAAATGGGGAAACTCACGCAAATCATGTCATGCATACAAAAAACGAAAAACTCTTGATATACATACATACAAATTTAATACAATTTAGGACTAGTTCAAGAATTTTCACCCATAGACTAGGCAAACTACACAATAATGATTTAAGCCAGTACGTTTTATGTTTAACTATTAAATGCTACGCAAAATCAAAATTGAGTTGAAAGCAAACAAAGTCTCAGGCCAAGTTAATATTTGGCAAACCAGAGCGAAATATGTTTAATGAAGTATATAATGCCCAAATAAATGTTTCGAAAATGTCACGCCTTTTGAGATTTCACTCGGAAAACCCCAGTAGGCGCGCAATGTGACACTTCCCTTTGAAGTTTGTCAGGCTCCGACTTTTGCGTCGCCGCTTCATTAGGTACTCGAACGCCAGATAGGGCACATGCAGCAGACGTCCAAAACGGGAAAAAGACAAAAAAAAATAAATACCCTCGGCTATCCTTGAGTGTTTTTATTTCGTAGAAAACCACAAAAACCTTAAAAAATACACCAGGCGCTGGTGTTGGTTGATTTTAATCAAGGCCCTCAATCAAGAAACGAAGTGCTCGAGCTCTTCTTGGAGTATCGACTTGCAGCCTCATCACTTTTTCTCTGATTTAGGTAAGTTCGCTAACTGGGGGGTCCCAAAGATGGGATTGTGGTTGTTTTTTGAGTCAAAGAAATTCGCAATTTAAGAAAAATCATTTTCCAAGTCATGCTAACCAGGGTTGCCTCCGTCACGTCAACTAGGCAATTTTGTAAGATAACAAAAAAAAAAAAAAAAAACAGAATATCCAAGATTGGATTGGTGAGCAAAAGTATTCAAGATAATTGCCAATAAGTGCAGAACATTCCTTTTTTCAAAAGTCAAATGAAGCAGGGTTACCAGCGGGGGTTAGCGAGCCCGTACAAGTATTTTATTAACGGGAATTAGCTTAAAAATTTGATTTCTTTTTTTAAGGGTGATTAACTTTTCTGAAACATGTATATAATATTCAAAATTAGGTTAAAACAAAAAAATTTTTAAGTTTTGCGCTCTCCGATTTTTAAGTGACATTTGTTCGATTAGTTTTCTGCAACCCTATGTGGCAGCACTGAACATTGGGAATGTAGCGATATTTGGTGGGGCCATCGCTAACGAATCTCCTCTCTATGAGTCGTGTAGAGTCCGTTTACGTGAGCGGTCGTGGATTCGCTTTCAGCACACGGCTTATCACATATTTTTTGTGAAGAAAAAATATATAAAAAATAAAAAAAAATATTAAAACACAAAAACGTAACAAAAAAAATTGTAAAAAGTAGCAAAAAATTCGAGCAAGTGCTTGGAGAAGTAAGTACAGTGCAAAGCTATTGGTTTTTAGTAGTGGAACGAGTGAGAGGGCGCGACGCAAGACAAAGCGAATAGTGAAATTTTTCATCGAAATTTGCTTTGTAGTCGTTCTGCGCTCAAAAATGGCATATAGAAAAGGCAGCTTGACCGCAGAATCGTGGTCTAGGGGCCATATTTGTCGCATATTTTCGGGGAAATCAAAGAATTCGCCAAAATTCGAGCATGCAAACGCGTGTCTATCTGTGTGTATGTGTGGAAATTTTCCAACACGAAGAGAAAGAGAAAAGGGGAGCGCAAAGAGCAACAACAAAGCACATGCCAACGTTGCCATGTCTACCGACTGTCACATGTACCAGTGTTGCCACCCAGACACACAGACAGAGAGACGAATAGAAGAGCAAAAGCCACGCCGCTTTTTTTTCTTTCTATTTCACCGCCTGCCTGGTCGAATCCATCCGGTCCGTAAAGATTAAGAAAAAACCGAAATTTTAGTGCCAAAAAATTGGAAATTAACTGTTAAAAATTGCAGGTAGACCTGATCACCAAATATGGCTTCTCTATACGTCGGTGATCTCCCACAGGACGTCAACGAATCGGGACTTTTTGAAAAGTTCTCGACTGCTGGTCCAGTGCTGTCCATTCGTGTCTGCCGCGATGTGATTACCCGTCGCTCGTTGGGTTATGCCTACGTCAACTTCCAGCAGCCAGCCGATGGTGAGTAATCCATGCAATAGAAGTGTAACTTTGTAGCCAGTAAAATTAGCCCCCTTCCGCGCGAAATAAAGACAACACGTGTGCAGTTTTGCACTCGCTTACTCACACACGCACACAACCACATGCCGTACAGTGGGGCAAGACGCACCTCCAAACTGGACTATGGAAAGATGGCTCCCATGGGAGACCAGATAAACGGCTTCCAAGTGTTTCATAACTCGTTCCACAGTGCATTGCTTACGTTAATCTTCTCGCGCACACACACACGCGCACTCAATTCCCACCAATGTGTACACACACACATGCTTGTATCAGTTCCAGTTATTCTGGATGGATACTCTGTTGGTGCGAGGTGTTGAAGAGGGCCAAACAGCTGGCTCGTGGCAATCATCAACCATACGCCTAGAAATTTCCGCCTCAATTTCGCACAAAATTGCAATTATGATGGAATAATATGGTTTCATACTGCCCAGACAGCTTATCGCAGCCCCGCCCAGTAGGGGTTTCATTGTTTCATTCCCCGTTCTCCTCATTTTATTTGTGTGGTGTGTGTTGTGTGTGTGTTGTTTCCAAGCGGCGAGCTTGCGCGCACGCACACGTCGACGCGCACAAACATGTGTTCATATTGTTGTTTGGACCATTTCTTTTTGGCCTTCATCTATTTTAGGTTATATTCCATTAACTGAGTTTCCGCACGTTCGCTCTTGTATTGCCTCTAACTTTTGTTTTGCTTTCACTTTCACAAATCTTCCCTGCCCTCTGCATTCCAATCCATTAACACTTCCAAATTCTTAACATGTCAGTGAACTGCTTTTGGGCCCCTCTTTCGCCCATTAAAATCTTGTTTTTACAAAAACGAAAACAAAACTTTCACTGCGCATAGTTGCTGCTTCTTCAGTTCCCGTTGTTCGCTTACATTTGTTTATTCAATTAAGCGCACAATGGCACAACGCTGGCGGCTGATAATGATTACGCTGCGTGTGAAAGTCTGTCGCATTCCTGCAAGTTTTTTGAACTCTAGCTATTAAGGTTAGGGCGAAGTTACAGCCCTGTCAAAAAATCACCTCGTTTTGAGCTAGTAAAACCCAACTGGATTTTCCCGGATTTAAGTTTTTTACACTATGAAGTCATTTGTACTTGGCGGCTTCAATTATATATATCTCGCAACTTCTACCCATTGGTTGGTCAGATTTAACGCTTTTTGACACGACTAAGATTTAATGTTGCCAGAGAAAGCAATGCAACTTACCATGCTGATGGGTTTTGCAAACCATCTGCAGAAGTAGAAGCATAACAAACACTAAATGCATTATACGATTAGGTTCAAACGATTGTCCCTTTGGACATATACACTTAAGTAGCAACTCCTACCCATTGGTTGGTCAGATTTTACCCTAAGACACGACTAAGATTTAATGTTGCCAGAGAAAGCAATGCAACTTACCATGCTGATGGGTTTTTCATACCATCTGCAGAAGTAGAAGCATAACAAACACTAAATGCATTATATGATTAGGTTCAAACGATTGTCCCTTTGGACATATACACTTTAGTAGCAACTCCTACCCATTGGTTGGTCAGATTTAACCCTAAGACACGACTAAGATTTAATGTTGCCAGAGAAAGCAATGCAACTTACCATGCTGATGGGTTTTTCATACCATCTGCAGAAGTAGAAGCATAACAAACACTAAATGCATTATATGATTAGGTTCAAACGATTGTCTCTTTGGACATATATACTTTAGTAGCAACTCCTACCCATTGGTTGGTCAGATTTAACCCTAAGACACGACTAAGATTTAATGTTGCCAGAGAAAGCAATGCAACTTACCATGCTGATGGGTTTTGCATACCATCTGCAGAAGTAGAAGCATAACAAACACTAAATGCATTATATGATTAGGTTCAAACGATTGTCCCTTTGGACATATATACTTTAGTAGCAACTCCTACCCATTGGTTGGTCAGATTTAACCCTAAGACACGACTAAGATTTAATGTTGCCAGAGAAAGCAATGCAACTTACCATGCTGATGGGTTTTTCATACCATCTGCAGAAGTAGAAGCATAACAAACACTAAATGCATTATATGATTAGGTTCAAACGATTGTCTCTTTGGACATATATACTTTAGTAGCAACTCCTACCCATTGGTTGGTCAGATTTAACCCTATTTGACACGACTAAGATTTAATGTTGCCAGAGAAAGCAATGCAACTTACCATGCTGATGGGTTTTGCATACCATCTGCAGAAGTAGAAGCATAACAAACACTAAATGCATTATATGATTAGGTTCAAACGATTGTCCCTTTGGACATATATACTTTAGTAGCAACTCCTACCCATTGGTTGGTCAGATTTAACCCTTTTTGACACGACTAAGATTTAATGTTGCCAGAGAAAGCAATGCAACTTACCATGCTGATGGGTTTTTCATACCATCTGCAGAAGTAGAAGCATAACAAACACTAAATGCATTATATGATTAGGTTCAAACGATTGTCCCTTTGGACATATACACTTTAGTAGCAACTCCTACCCATTGGTTGGTCAGATTTAACCCTAAGACACGACTAAGATTTAATGTTGCCAGAGAAAGCAATGCAACTTACCATGCTGATGGGTTTTGCATACCATCTGCAGAAGTAGAAGCATAACAAACACTAAATGCATTATATGATTAGGTTCAAACGATTGTCCCTTTGGACATATACACTTTAGTAGCAACTCCTACCCATTGGTTGGTCAGATTTAACCCTAAGACACGACTAAGATTTAATGTTGCCAGAGAAAGCAATGCAACTTACCATGCTGATGGGTTTTGCATACCATCTGCAGAAGTAGGAGCATAACAAACACTAAATGCATCAGACGATTAGACTCAGAAGATTGTCCCTTATTGGCCCAACTAGATTTCTAGCAACTTCTACCCATTGGTTGGTCAGATTTAACTCTTTTTGACACGACTATGATTCATAGTTGCCAGATTAAACATCAGTCTTGACTTACCATGCACTACGCTGCTTTTATTTATGGCGAGTGCAGAAGTTGAAGAGTCACAATGTCCTTTAAGCCTCTTCATCCTGTAATGATTTTTAGACCCAAATGAAATCGGTAGTAAATAGACATTTTCCATCTTTCATCCACAGCTGAGCGTGCTTTGGACACCATGAACTTCGACCTGCTCCGCAACAAGCCCATTCGTATTATGTGGTCTCAGCGCGATCCGTCACTTCGCCGCTCCGGTGTGGGCAACGTGTTCATCAAGAACTTAGATAGGGCCATCGACAACAAGGCAATCTACGACACTTTCTCCGCCTTCGGCAACATCTTAAGCTGCAAGGTAGCCACCGATGAAAAGGGCAACTCAAAGGGCTATGGATTCGTCCACTTTGAGACTGAAGAGGCCGCAAACACGTCCATCGACAAGGTCAACGGCATGTTGCTCAACGGCAAGAAGGTCTACGTGGGCAAGTTCATCCCGCGCAAGGAGCGCGAGAAGGAGCTCGGTGAGAAGGCTAAGCTCTTCACCAATGTGTATGTGAAGAACTTCACCGAGGATTTCGACGATGAAAAACTGAAGGAATTCTTCGAACCATACGGCAAGATTACCAGCTACAAGGTCATGTCCAAAGAAGATGGCAAGAGCAAGGGCTTCGGATTTGTTGCGTTCGAGACCACAGAGGCTGCTGAGGCGGCCGTTCAGGCCCTCAATGGCAAGGACATGGGAGAGGGAAAGTCCCTGTACGTGGCTCGTGCCCAGAAGAAGGCTGAGCGCCAGCAGGAGCTGAAGCGCAAGTTCGAGGAGCTGAAGCAGAAGCGTCACGAGTCTGTGTTCGGCGTCAATCTGTATGTGAAGAACCTGGACGACACGATCGACGACGATCGCCTGCGCATCGCGTTCTCTCCGTACGGCAACATCACATCGGCCAAGGTTATGACCGATGAGGAGGGTCGCTCCAAGGGTTTCGGATTCGTGTGCTTCAATGCCGCAAGCGAGGCTACCTGCGCCGTCACCGAGCTGAACGGCCGCGTTGTCGGCAGCAAGCCCTTGTACGTTGCTTTGGCCCAACGAAAGGAAGAGCGCAAGGCTCATCTCGCCTCGCAGTACATGCGTCACATGACCGGCATGCGCATGCAGCAGCTGGGACAGATCTTCCAGCCCAACACGGCAAGCGGCGGCTTCTTAGTGCCGACTTTTCAGTCAAATCAGCGCTTCTTCGGTTCTCAGGTGGCCACCCAGATGAGAAACACCCCGCGCTGGGTGCCCCAGGTGCGTCCCCCAGCAGCTGTACAGGGTGTCCAGGCCGGAGCTGCCGCCGCTGGTGGCTTCCAGGGCACAGCCGGTGCGGTGCCCACTCAGTTCCGTTCGGCTGCTGCTGGAGCGCGCGGAGCACAGCCTCAGGTGCAGGGCACCCACGCTGCCGCTGCTGCGGCTAACAACATGCGCAACACTGGAGCTCGCGCCATTACCGGCCAGCAGACTGCAGCCCCCAACATGCAAATCCCCGGAGCCCAAATCGCTGGCGGTGCCCAGCAGCGCACTTCCAATTACAAGTACACCTCAAACATGCGCAATCCTCCAGCGCAGCAGTTGCATCAGACCCAGCCAATTCCACAGCAATTGCAAGGAAAGAGTAAGTTTTAGGTCGACTAACATATGTACGATTTTCCACTAATCGCACATGGCACATCTTTGCTATTCTTGCAGATTCTGAGAAGCTCATTGCCTCGTTGCTGGCCAACGCCAAGCCGCAGGAGCAGAAACAGATCCTCGGCGAGCGTCTGTATCCGATGATTGAGCATATGCACGCCAATTTGGCTGGAAAGATCACCGGCATGTTGTTGGAGATCGAAAACTCAGAGCTCTTGCACATGATCGAGGATCAGGAGGCCCTCAAGGCCAAGGTGGAGGAAGCTGTGGCCGTGCTTCAGGTGCACCGTGTCACCGAGCCCGCTAACTAAGCTCAAACAGCTCAAGCGGATGAACATTTTACAAAAACACTTTACACCCAAAAAGTATGTAATCTACAGATTTTCTGAACAGTTTCCTGAAGCTTTCTAATCTCTCATTTCTTTTGTCCTTGCAGTTTTCCACTAATCTTTCAATACATGAACAACAATTCGCATTCACTGATGCTCAGTGCACAGAAGGATCGCCAAAAAGGACACACATTCAACACAGAAGAACGAAGCGAAAAACTTTGGCTTTTTCTTTTCTAATCCCAAGAACCAGAAACATCAACAAAAGCAATTTCAATCATTTAATTTCGAACGCATTTACGCAAGTACACGAAGCAAAAAGAAGAAAGTCACGAAAAGAAATTCAACAGTCCAATTATGAATTCTTTTTTTTTTTACATAAATATGTTCATTGAAAAAAAAAACGGAAAAATGTAAATTGAAAAATACTTTCATCATTGCTTTAACTGGATCAATATTATTTTGTATGCGTATAAAAAAACACCAAAAACCATTGCAAAATAAACAGATTAAAGCATACATGTAGACAGCTTCTTGCAAGTATTGAAATTGTGTTTTAAAAATGTAGACAAGTTTCTAGTGTACACTTTTTCCACCCACACTTTCAAACAACAACAAACAACACGAAAGCGATATGTAATTTTTTTCAATTCTTTTTTCTCAAATTCAAACTTTAAGAAAGCTTTGTTTAGAAAAAGAAACGCGACAACCATACACTTTTAAAAAAGCAAAGAAAAAACAAAAAAATTGCAAAAGAGTTAAAATAAAAACGAAAAAATGTAAAGCAAACTGTGCAGAGAACAGAACAGAACAGAATAGAAAGAAAGAAAGAAATAAAGAGAAAACCGCAAGAATATGAGAGTCAAGTTTTTGCTACTTTGAAAAAAGAGAGAAAATACAGAAAACCAACAACTGAGAAAATATGTTGAAAAAATGAAAACAAAACATAAATATAAAAAACTACAAAAAAATTGCAAAACCTATGTAAAAACAGCAAAAAAAATAATATAAACACATACATACACACCAACACACATATTAAACAACAACAACACATGAAAACGCTAAAGCGTAAACAACTTATGAAGCATATTAATAAACAACAAAAACGGGCGACAAAACCCGATGGCAAGAAAGCAGGCAGGATTTTTATGATTACACTATTATCCGAGCGAAGGAAACATGCATATGCATTAACCTTTATAAACATTGCAAAAACATATATTTAAAGAGAACACCTGGTAAGCGATTTTCGTTGCGTTCCGACTTCTGTCTGTTACAAAGGGAATCGAGAATATTACCAGTAAATAATGTTTTTACACCATACATACACAAAATTATATATTAACGCAAAAGGAATAAAAAAAGTCGCCGCTCGGGGCAGTGAAATACATATTTTTTTATTAAACAAATCGAAAACTAAAAACAAATAAAAACCCAAGGAAAAATGATTGAAAAAATTGCAAAACACAAAACCACATGTATGCAGAAAATGCAAAAATATTAAAAAAAATAATGAGAGTAATACAGAAAGAAAACATAACCAAAACCCGAATTGGAATGTTTGTTCAAGGGAAATTGCGATGAAATACACATTGGGAGGGAAAAAGAGGAAAACTTTTACTTTTCACGAAATATACGCAAGTCAACACACTTCTATATATAGCAGATATATATGTATCCTTATATATTAAAGCGAAATAAAACATAATTTGTATGATTCAAGGAAATAGGATCGTTGCAACTTGACTGCGCATCTTCGAAGCAAAAGCCCAGCAATTGTAACCATTTGAAGAAATTGTAATAAACGCAGAGAAAGTCCTTAAAACATACCTTTGTACACCCAACAAATTTAATTACAATAAAATTCCACTTCGGCAAAAGCGAGTGTTTTCATTTGTCAGCGGGATGTGGGTGGATGTTTATACTTACTAGTTTTTAATATCTATTTGATATAAACATACGTATATGTATTTGTTTCATATGAAATGCCATATATGTAGCTTATTATATAATAACAGACACGTTTTAAGCATAGTCGAATAAACTTTATTTAATTCTAGCACACTCAAGTATTTAACGAGCATAATTAACATTCAGAAAGTCAAAATATGAAAGCGGGACAGAATGCAGCAGAAAACACATAAAATGCAAGATTCTTAAAAGTAGAAACAGGAGGCTAATGGATGAATAAATATATGGCCGAGAGCTGGGTTCCTCTGCGTGGGCTAACGTGGGGCTCCAACCGAACACATTCATCCCGACTAGGAGGCACTCCCATATAAAGATTGTCAAGTGTCCGGATGTCTAATCCTCGTCGTCGTCATCATCCGCTGGCACGAACAGATCGTTCTCCTCCAGGAAGTTGGCCACGTTCTTGCTGATGGTGGCGCCCACGAAGAGTCCCGGTATAACGGCACAGAAGATGGCCAGCAGGCCGAAGGGCATCTCCTCGGGCTTGGGCTTGATGGCTCCACTGCGGAAGTACACGCTGGACATGTGGCGCTGCAGGATCCTTAGGTTATGGGGGTGTTCCGCAACACGGCGCGAGACACGCTGCAGGGCATGGCTAATGGGAAATGCCAGGCGTGAGACAATCATCGTTGTACGCTTTAATTATCTCTTATTTCGATTCAAAGCCAAAAAATGTCCAAATTTGTGCGTAGATTGTGATTCAAGCAGCTGATTCAGCCAGTTGTAGTGTTGAAAAGCGCACCAGGCGGGAGCCCACCCCCGCCGGGCAGTGTGGTGTAACAACCAAAAGCGCGCGCAGTTCAATTTCAAATCATTGCGATCCCCATTTGTTTATAAATAAAACACGTATTCTCTTGGGTTTGCACATTTACAGTTTGTGTATATAATTATTTTTTAGAGCGTATACAATTGCTCGGCTCAGTTACAGTTAGGGTGGCCACGTATAAATATAAATGTTTCAATAAATTGCCCTTAACTAGTAAAATATACTGATTTTTGCTTACATCAGAGTTCTTGTAAGGATGTGTTTTGATCTAGGATTACGGTTTAAAAACGATTTTATTTGATTATCGCATTGATTTTACCTCTATGAGCTGCAGTTCTAGATAAGAAATGAAAACTTGTGTCCGAGGAAAAGCAAGCAATGGCAGTTATACATAAATACATGTGGTGTTTAGACATATTCTGTAGTTACATAAGTGGGAAAAATCACAGCAAAGCAATGCGAACCGAAACTAAATCGGAGCCAGCTGCTTTTGTTGATTAACAAATACAGTGCAAGTACAGACGCTCGTTACGGCATAAATAATTGGCTAAGATGAAACTAAGTAATAAATAAATACATGGGCACATACGCCCGTGTGTATAAATATTAATTTATAATTGATTTGTGGAGCTATTCTTCGTTTTGCGCACGTCTAAATACTTGAGGAGAATATTGTGAAGCAAGGCGATGGAAATGGTTTTGCGATCGACTCTCTAGTACACGTAGCCTAAGTAGAAAAAAACCCAATTGTTTGATGTACGCTCTTCAAGCGGGTATGTGGACTCTTTTGACCTTAAAACTAGGTATGAAATTGCACTAAAAACGTAGGGGGATGTACACATAAATAAAATGATTAACGGTTTGTCAAGGGATCGGATATTGGACAACATCAAATCACTTACAAACTAACTTTTCAAGTTGTTGCTTGAAACGTGGTGATCAGCCAGCGATTCTACAGATTGGACATTTAGCTTTACCTTCGCACCGCCGCGATTATCGGCAGATACGAAAGGCAATTTAGGAAAGAGGACTTTATGGATTCCTCGCCAATGGAGCAGCTGTTTTGGGACCCCACCCCACATAGGGCGGCAATCAGAAAACACCATTCGAGTTGAAGTGATTCACTCGGTGTGTTAAAAATGACGAGTCTGTGCAGAATATTGTTCAATCTAACAATAAATACTACTAAGTAATGCCCCCCTTGCGGAGGGAATTACAAACAAATACAGTACATAACAAAACGTAAATGTAAAATTGCAATTTTCAGGGCGTCTAATTTGAATATGAGATTCCCTAAAGGTGAAAATTGCAATTTTTGTGTGTGGGTGTTTGGCTCTTAAGCATACATACATAAACAAGCTGCCCGTTCGAGCTGCATCCTCCGACTTTTGCTGGAGTGATCACTAAAAGCGACCTGAAATGTGTGGGCAAACCGGCAGGATGAGAGGCGTATCGTGCAGGGGACACCTCCTCAATCAAACTCCGCAATTGAGGGCGAGGACGCATTGCGATTCAAATCGACACGAACGCCAGTCGCTGGTCCGCTCTGTCCGGGGGTTGGAGCTTTGGCCTTTGGCGCGGCTTCCCCGTCGCCTGGTCATAAGTCCTGAAAGCGACGCACATCCTCCCAGTAGTGCGATGGCACCTCAAACATCTTGGCGGGGATGTTGTCGCGGAACTCGAATTTTTGGAACGTCACCTTGGCGGTCACCGTGTGCAGTACGGGTATCTCAATCTTCACGGGAAAGCCCGTCGGTAGCTTCAGCGTGACGAACTCGCGCAGCTTGTTGATGTGTTTTAGGGGTGCCACGACTTCCAGAACGTCCAGCAGCATGTCAACGCTAAGTGGAAAGTCCTTGCTCATGGCTACCGTGGCTCGCAGCGTCTTGTTGGATTGCTTGTGCACGGGTGTCCTGCCTAACTGTGGGCACTTACCGACCTCCGCATCGAGATACTGCCTCCAGGTGACTGTGGGAGGTGGCGGAGCCTGCAGCGAGCTGCGGCGCGGTAGCTCCGGCAGCGAGATGCCATTCGGAGCCGTTGGTGTATTGGTCTCCGGCGGCGTGGCCGTGTGCTGGCTGCCTAGGCTGGAGCGGCGCGTATCCGGCTGCTGGTTGCCACCCTTGGTAATAGTCTCGACAATGGCGCGGTTCTTTTGTAGATCCTCGTGCGACAGGTGTTCCCGCCTCTTTCGCTGCTTTAGGATCAAACCCTGGATGGTGTAGATCTCGCACTGGTACTGGCCCCCAATGAGCTCCTTGCGATTGGCGCGGAATATCCAGCCGCGTTGCGCTCGTGCGAATTGTATCGTCTTGGTGGACATCTGGGTGGCCAGAATATCGGTCGACATGAGCACATCCACCTCATCCTCCATGTCTGATTCCTCGTATCGCAACCGCTGAAAGCACTCCTGCTCATTGTCTAACAGAACCAGGGATTCCCTTGCCGGTGCCTCTCCTCTAAACAGGAACGATATGTCTCCTCGCTCCCAACGCATATCATTGAAGTCCACCAGTGTGGTGTCCAAACGAATGGAGGCACCCGACTTGTACAGCCGGCAGATGTCCGAGGGCAGGATGCGGGAAACCAGCGGCAGCCAGGATTGAAAATCCCACTTAAATTCCATGTAGAAGTCCTGCATTTGGCGCAGCGCATTAACCAGCTTCTCGCGCCGGCTCTCCATGTGTTCACGTGACTGCAGCTTTAGCATCCGCAGCACCTGGGTGATTGTCTGGCGGTCACCGTAGCTGATGGCCTCGGACAGCGGGGACCAGCCCTCATTGTTCTTGATCTTAACGGGGGCGTTTTGGGCCAGAAGCAAACGGACAGCGTGCTTTCTGCCCAGCATTACGGCCAGATGGAGTGGCGTGTTGCCATGTTTATCCTTGCGACCCACTTCGTCTTGGGCTGTGTTCAAAAGTAGTCGTCGCTGCAGCGACTTGATGTCGTCCTCGAAAACGCTTCGGTGCATGGGATAGTCCAGGGCCTCGGATGTCGGCATCACAGTGGGCAGTGGCGGAGCCGCCTTGGCTGTGGGCGTGGCGGCGACCGATGGGCTGGTTGTGTCAGGTGGGCGCTCCGCTGGGGAATCACCGTCACCATCGCCATCCTCACCTTCACCGGCCGATTGGTACTCATCCGAATCTTCGCTCGACGTGGACTTGGCGTCCGACGCCGTCTGCTGCTTGTGCTTGTCGCACTCGTCCTCCTTTTCGTTGGACATGTCTCAGCTATTCTGTCACCGTCGCGTCTTCCGTGGAATTAAATAAATCAATTCGATTTTTTAGTTTATCTGGCAGTGTTACCAGATGAAAAAACTGTTTTAATCCCTTAAGTCTTCAACGACTTTCCAGCCCTGACCAAAATTCACAGGCAAGAGCGAAACTTGTACTTGGTTTAAATATTTGTATTATAAGTAAAAATATGAAACCCATTTGTTGTTACTTTTTCCATTAACCATTAAAAAGCATATCTCCAATGCAAATAATTATTTGTGGGGAGTTAAAGAGGTTTTAGGAATTAATTTATGTCGGGCTTCGTAGACTGCTTAAATCAGTTGAGTGATAGGCTCTTCTTAATCTTTCACTTCTCGGGCGTTTTAAAAAGAAATACATTTTGCACATCCGAAATTTGGTTGTTCCATTTCGTAAGCTAACGTTAACCGTTACGGCAAAGGCGCGCTGACCTGGCAACGCCGCGCACAGGTGTCAACAACAGCAAGGTGGTGGGCAGTAGGGACTGCGAAGCGGGGCAGGGGCACTCAGCGAATGCAAAATGAATTAAACGGAGAACGAGACGAAAACAAACGGAAACAAGTGTCATAATCCTATCCAGAGCAGTCGGAGATAATGTCGAGCGATGAACTGTATCGCGTAAAGTACTCTAGTTCGCGCTATCAGCGCCAGCACACGCCCTTGAACGCCAGCTCCTTGCATTGGCAGCGCCAGCAGTACGGTCATGAGCTGGACGAGATGCTTCGGCGCCGTCTCCTGGCCTCGCCGGCCTACGTGGACAGGCTGGAGCAGGAGGCACTGCTCGTCGGTCACGAGGGCTGCGTCAACTGCCTGGAGTGGACCACCGATGGCCTGTGGCTAGCCTCCGGATCCGACGACTATCGTGTGATGATCTGGGACCCGTTCCGAAGGAAGCGTGTCCATGTCATTAGGACCAAGCATCTGGGCAACATGTTCTCTGTCAAATTTCTGCCCAAGACCAACAACAGCATTGTGGCTACGTGTGCAGCGGATAAGTTCATCTATGTCTACGACATCAATCACTCGAACGAGACTCTCTTTTCGTGCAATTGCCATTGGTCGCGGGCGAAGCGCTTGGCCACCGCCCAGGACTCGCCGCACATCTTCTGGTCGGCGGGTGAGGATGGCTGCATCCTGCAGCTGGATATACGGGAGCCACACCGCTGCCGTCCGGAGGGAGGTAATGGTGTCAGGCTCTTGAGTTTGCACGATCAGGTGGAGAACACAGAGGCCAAATGTCTGGCCATTAATCCCAGGAGGACAGAGTACCTAGCCGTGGGCACCAACGATCCGTTTGCCCGGGTGTACGATCGCCGCAAGCTGCCCTCCACCGACGGCAATGGTGCGTACTTGAATTTGCAGGCTCCGAAGCTCATATTGAACTCTTATCCATTTTAGGTCTCTCCGCTTGCGTGGCGTACTATGCACCTGGACAGATCGTGAAAAACATCAGTCGGAACATTGTCCACGAGTCGCGGGCCATCACTTATCTTACGTTCAATGGCAATGGCACGGAGCTGCTGGTCAACATGGGCGGCGAGCACGTCTACCGCTTTGATCTGAATCATGCCGAGCCTCCGGTTTTCTACGAACTGCCCGCCTTCACATCTACCCTCGTTCAGGAGGAGGAGCCGGTGAAGACGCCACACAAAAGTCGCTCCCTGCCCTCCAGCATAGAGGTGCATAAGAAGGAGGGCAATGACTTCCTTGAGAACGGCAAACTTGTGGATGCAATTGACGCGTACTCAGCGGCTTTGGCGAAATATCCGAAGGGAGAGGTTCTCTATCTGAACAGAGCGACGGCTCTAATGCGACGCGGCTGGTTTGGTGATATATATGCGGCTCTTAGGGACTGCCACGAGGCTCTGCGTCTGGATCCGAGCTATGTGAAGGCACATTTTCGGCTGGCCAGGGCATTGCTTGAGCTGCATCGACCCCAGGATGCGGATAAGTGCTTGCAGGCACTCATTCAGCGTTTTCCCGACTTCGCTAACAATCACGGCGTGCTCATGCTGAACAAGGACATCAAGGAGAATCGACGACAGTCGCAGAGCACTGAGCCACCCGAGCCGGAGCCAGTGGAAATGGAGGATGGCTTCCGCTATCTGCGGCTGAAAGACGCCGAGTATGATCTCCGTTCGACAGCCCGCGACTATATGCAACGCTATGTGGGCCACTGCAACATCACGACGGACATAAAGGAGGCCAACTATTTGGGCAGCCAAGCCGAGTTCATAGCTGCCGGTTCGGATGACGGCAATTTGTACATTTGGGAGGGAGACACTGGCAAGATACGCGCCGTTTATCGGGCGGACAGTGCCATAGTGAATTGCGTGCAGCCGCATCCGAGTATATGCATGTTGGCCACCAGTGGTATTGACCACGACATAAAGATCTGGTCGCCATGCGCCCCCAGCGCCGAGGAGCGACCAAATCTCGTGGCGGATGTGACGCGCTTCGTTGAGGACAACCAGCAGAAGATGCGCACCGATCCATTCGAACTGCACACGCGAAATGCGTACTGTTTCAATAACTAGGAAATGTAGCTTGATCTAAATTAGCTGCATTGTGCAGCAAGCGAAATCCAATCGGCAATATATCAAATATTAATGTAATTTAAGCTAAGCGAACATATTTTTGTTAATTTGTAAACGAATTGCTGTATACAAAGTACGAAGCTTATGAAGATGTTATGAAAGACTATTAAAATAAATGCAGACTTGCAATAAACCTGTTTTAATGAAAAGCTCAGAATGGTTTGCACTTGTTTTTTCATTAATTATTCTGTTTATTTACCGTAGTTTCTTTAAATCTATGCTCACATGTATACATATACATACATATAAATATTTTACTTTATGTAATAATATTCAAGTATAGTTATTACTCAAGTTGTATTTTTCTTCTAACGTATTTCCTTACTCTTTTGTTTAAACTTTGTCAAACTGATAGCTTCGCACTGAAACAACTTTTCTTCGTTTTGTTATCCATAAAATATATGTATCTCGCGTATGATCAGAAGTTTGAAAGGAGACCGCGCTTGTCCACACACAATGAATTGAAGTACAATTTTGCATTTGTTTCTATTTTATTGTTTAAATATAGATGAAAATGAGTTTGTCTGTCTGGAGGCGTGGCATGTCTGGGTTTGTAGTTAGTGGCTTAAAAACTAACCGAATGTGTTGTAATATTCGCGCCCGTTGTGGCTTTTTTCCATCTACTTGCACATTTCACACTATATTTATAATTATCTTTATATATTTTTAATGGATCTTCTTTAATTACTTTACAAAAGTGCGTTTTTGTTTTGTTTTGTTTTGCTTTAGGGGCTGTCCATATCGTTTTATTTATACAGAGTGGTTTGTATTGTTAATAATATATTACAAACTATTTTATGCAGAAATTAAACGAATACAAAATTCAAATCAAGTTCTGTGGGGGTTGTCGGTAAATGTTTTTGCAATTTGGTAGATCAGATGTGAATGAGTGGGTGTGGGAGTGGGCAGGCGGATTTGGCCTCCACCTTTACTTTACAGGCTAATCATTTCGATCTGTCAGCTTTGTGTGGTTGTCTGTTGGTTGTCTTCATCCTCCTAGTGTACTCTTACATGAATTTGTATACCAAATGTCGCTCTCGTAATGTTGTTTCTTTCGCCGCTGGTTGGAATTTTGTTTTCTTGCATACGTTTCTTATAGTTGGTTGTTGTTATTTATTATGTATTTTTTGTTTCGTTTATTGTTTAATACCATCAACCTTCCCGCTTTATTGAACTGGGTGTCTCTGCCAGGCCTTTTACTTTGAGGCGATCGGCGGTCTTAAGAAATGCTGGCAATTGTTCCTGGGACACGTTCACCTCACCGGCGTACATGAACTCCAGTATAGCCTGTAGGTGAATGTAGGAGACATCTTTCAGGATGATAATCGGATGCTTCGATGGGTTCTCCTGCGGGTGCATACACATTATCATTCGATTGCTTAGTTATTTAGTTATATTAAGTGAAAAACTCACCTCCAGTAGCGCTTTAAAGTAGGGACTGCAAGCAGAAAGCACCATTTTGTGGGCTTTGCAGGTTTGGCCCTCGCAGGCCAGTGTTACCTGTGAACAATAAGCATTGGGAAATCAGTAAGATCCGCCAGGCATTTTCACCAAAAAAGCACCAACAACGAGACCGCAACAAATTAGACAGAAAACGCAGAGCGAAGAAAACAATCAGGTAAAGGAAAAACGAATTGAAAAAGAGAAAAAGAGCGTGAGGGCCAGGTAGCTACATAGGTAGTCAGACCAAGTGAGCTCAGCCGGTGACTGACCCTCCACAAGGGGCGGCCGCGAGCCAATCGGGCCAAGAGTAGCATAATAAACCTCAGCGCGCCCCTGGACTGGTCAACTACAGTCTAACTTCTATGGCTTGACTTTGACTACATGTATAAGTGACTATTCAAATTAGAATGATATCTAATACATTGTATTTAATAGTTCTAGTGCAAAAACTTCGACTGTAACTAGATGTTTGTAAGGATTAATTTGGGTACTCACATCTGTGAAGCTCTTCTCGTCGCGCAGGTGACGGAACGATGTCACCATATTCGTTTGAAAATCGTTCCATTTCAGAAAGAACTGTTGATCCGACGACATCATGAAGAAGCTTTTGTTGGTGGGGGCGTCGCTCGCTGGACAGAATGCTGGGAGGGGGGTGGGGGCTGGATTCTTAATTTGGACTAGTGGCCGAAAGGTTCACCGTTAGATGGGCTTAATTCGCAGCGTACCGCTTAATCCGTGGCTTTTCGCTTGGGTTTTCTTTGCCGCACTCTGCAAGAGAAGTAAACAGACAGCATTAGCAAATGAACGGCAAGGCAAACAAACAACAACAGCTTGGCGAAATTAGCAGCGAGCGTTACGAGAGCATTGCAAAAGAGCACGTCTCTGGGCCAAAAATATTCTCCAAATATAAAAGTGCTGTGGCGCATGTGCAGCGTTTGTGCAGTGGGAAATGGCAGTTCGGAATGCACCGCGTTGCTCTGTGCATGTGTGAGTGAGCTGGAAAATGTCAAAGTGCTGAGCCAGCGCTAACTGAAAACAGAAAACAGCAAACAGCTGCCAGCAAAGGTTAAGCAAAGAGGCAAAAATATCAAATCGTCGCTGGCTCGCTCTGTTGAATGCCTTTCACTTTTCAAGGCAATTTCTGCATTTTCAGTCGTACACACATGTGTATGCTTTGCCTATTTGAATTCGAATGCGTCACAGTGGCTTAGAACGCGGGATTCGTATGTTGCACGCGATGCACTGTGCAGCTGCCGATGGCAATGTATTTCTGGGTGCACTCCAGTAAAATAGCATTCATTCCGTGGATTTTGGACCAAAAAAGAACCAAGATGGCGGCCCCATTCGCACTTCCTCCATTCAGCGACTTTGTCTTCTCTTCACTTTACTTCACTCCCATTCCATCCCACTGTGCGGCCAACATGTGTTTTCCTTCTTGAGGAATAGCGTTGTTGTTGATGCGACTCTCATATGCGCTACACTGGCGGCCGGCTGTATGTTTATGTGGGCGGGGGAGAGCAGGGCATTCAGTTCGCCGCCAGAGCTTAAACTTTAGTCTCACGCTCTCTCTCTCTCTTTGGCTAAGCGCTCTCAACTTTCAACTGCCGTTATGATTTCGCAATTACATTACAACAAAAACAACAATTTAAAAGGCAGAGCAGACATCGCTGGAAATTCAGCTGCATAAGTGTAAGTGTGTGGCTGTATGCGAGTGTGGGCTGGCGGCGGCTAACTATCTCGCTTGCTCTTGCGCCCGGGGTTATCGGTAGCTTCTTCTAGGCTGAGTGCATTTCGTTGAATCGTGGATGTTGAAAGTTGTCTAATTTCCGAACTATTGATTTTTCCCCTTCCCCGTCAAGAAACTGCATTGTTGCTTCTTGAAGACCAGTTTTGGTAACAACAGGAGAATGGAAAGGAGCGAGTGAGGCGGTGAGTAAGTGAGTGAGCGATGCGAGCGACAAAAACAACAACAACTGTTCAAAACGAGTTCCAACGAAAGTTGCAACACTCTTAACAATTTGAGTAGCTCCAATTGTTGTTATTGCATTACTCAATTGGAAAGAACTCTACACTCGACGGAATAGTCTTCTCGCCTGCGGTTTATTCCTTTTCATTTATTTTCTTTTGTTTTTGCGTAGACAATGGCGGCGGCAAAAATTCGTGGGATGCCACAGGAACCACCAAAATGCCTGGCGTCACTTTAACCGAGCCGCCTTTGTTTATGCAAATATTATTGTAATATTTGGTTAAAATTGGGTCGCGCTTCGCGTTACTTTTTATTTCATATATGTACACGCAGCAGCAGCAGCACGCATACAGTCACGTCACGCACACATACAGTCGCCGTTCACATACACTTGTCTTTTTTCCACACACTTTCCTAATCATTTTATTTTGTGCGCTACTGCTTTTTACTCGGCGTGTACTCTGTACTTTTACCAATGCGTACATCGCTTGCCGACCGCCGCAGGAGCAAGCTAATTGCGCCGTGGACACGCTTTTTCTATATCTTTTTGTTTCAATTTTAATACATACACGCTTTTTTTTTGTCCCGCACTTAACTCACCTCTGCTTTCTCGCTAACGCTGCTTTCTTTTTTCTCTTTCACCGATTTCGATTTTCGATAAACTCTCGATTCTTCGATATGAATCGGCCTAATTTCGATGTGTTTTCTTTTTATCAGCTAATGAACACAAACTGATGTACTGAAATATCTTTTTTTGATTTATACGTAAGCTGCTGCTTAGACTGAACCGATGCCTGTTATGTTGTACGCCAAATATCATAAATATCGTTCAGATCTATCGGTTAGCAGCCCTGTCTACCCCTAGAAGGTTGCGTAGCCTTCAGCTTCTGTCTGGCTGTGAGAGTTCTTGTGGGTATTGCGAAATGTTTAAAACCACACGTTTATATAAAATTATAAATAAAAATGTGCTTATAACATGTTCGAGGCTGCAGAATACGGCCGCCGCAGAGGGACAGAGTTTCCGGCAGCGGGCGTGGCTGCTCGCCAGGGAGCGATACAAGGATCATGAGCACGTTCATTACAGCTCCGTGTTGGAGACCAAATTAAAACCCTCTTTCTTGATTCCTGAGGCACATCAGCATTTTCCCGAAGACTGGATGGATGACTACGAGTTCTATCAGGGCGCCAAAGAGGGGGCGAATAGGCAGGGCACTCCGGATCCTTCGCTACCTGTCTCAAAGGTTCCATGCAACGGCTGCGGCGCAAACCTGCACTGCTCAAATGCCTCTCTGCCCGGCTATATACCAAGTGAAATATTCAGGGGAAGAACGCAACAGGAACTTCAGACTATCTCCTGCAAGCGTTGTCACTTTCTGAACCACTACAACATCGCCCTGGATGTGGAGGTGGCTCCATCGACCTATGTGGACACCATATCCCGCATTCAGGACAAATTTGCACTGGCTATCGTGCTAGTGGACCTGCTTGATTTTCCCTGCTCCATTTGGCCGGGCATGCAACATATATTGGGCACGAAGCGACCCGTCTTCCTGGTGGGCAACAAGGTAGATCTGCTGCCGCGGGACTCCAACATCTATCTGCAGCACATCAAGGATTCCCTGCAGCGCGAATTCATCAAGCATGGTGGTGGCGATGGACTGAATATTAAGAATATCAGTTTAATATCCGCCAAAACGGGTTATGGCATCGAGGAGCTAATAACGCAGCTGCATAAAACGTGGGCCTACAAAGGGGATGTCTATCTGCTGGGCTGTACCAATGTGGGCAAGAGCTCCCTGTTCAACATCCTGCTTAACTCGGACTACTGCCGGCCGGAGGCCACTGACCTGGTGCGAAAGGCCACCGCCTGTCCCTGGCCGGGAACCACACTCAAACTGCTGCGCTTTCCGATCTTGCGTCCATCGAGCGATCGAGTCTACCAGCGCTTCAAGAGATTGGTTTCGGAGCGCAGCGCAAGGGCGGCGATGGAAAAGGAGCGTCGCGCTGTGGCAAGGGAAACGGGATCAGCTGCAGCTGCTCAACCAGTGGCGTCGGTTGGACGCACCTTCGATCGGCGCGAGGATGTCAATGATGCCTTTGCCATGGCCGCTGGCTCAAGGCCGATTACAACGCTAAACCATCAGCATAAGGAGTACAAGCAAGCGCGTTGGGTGTACGACACACCGGGCGTGATGCAACCCGACCAAATATCTCCCCTACTCACCGCCGAGGAGCTGGTAAAGCTGCAGCCCACCACCATGATCAGACCCCGCACCTTTCGGCTGCGGCCCCAGATGAGTATCCTGCTGGGTGGTCTGGCCAGATTGGATCTGTTGGATATAACAAGCCCAAGGAAGCAGTATGACTGGCTGAAAGTGTTTGTATTTGCCTCAGAGCATCTTCCCATCCTGATAGCAGACTCACAGGCGGCAGAGAGCGTGTACAAAAGATACGTGGGATCGCCCTTCCTGGGAGTTCCCTTCGCCAGTGAGGACTTGGAGGCCCGCCTGCGACGTTGGCCCGGATTGCAGTGCAGGGACGAGGATATTGTGCTGGCAAGTGAAGAAAGGAACGAGGGAAGGCTTAACTGTGATATTACACTCAGCTCGGCGGGTTGGATGGGATTCCTCCTGCCGGGCCACTCGGAGTGTCGTCTGCGTGCTTGGACACCACATGCGGCAGGAATTTACAAACGTGAACCCGCTTTAGTGCCCCTGGCCGATCGGTTGGTGGGCAAGCACATAAAGTTTTCCCTGGCCTACAACACCACAAAGCCTTTTGTTTTCAAAAAATAAAGAATATATTGTTTGTAGTTATATTATCAAGTTGTTTTTAAAGTGCATTTCATATACTAGCAATTTAAGCAGTTTTATTTATTTTCAGTATATCTCATTTTTTTGAGAAAGTATGTGAAATAAACTTCGTTTCTTTTGATAAACTAAAACATATTTTCAAACTACGTAACGGTAAGTAACGTAATAGCAGGTCCTTGCTTTTAGCGCATTTCAACACTGGCTACTCGCTACTCCTGTTTAAAGCGAGTTGGCAGTGCAGCGTATAAAAATCGGTGCTGCCATTTTTTAATAATAGAGGAAAGCTGTTTGTGGCTAGAAAGATAGTACATATGACAAACATAACACAGATATTAAAATTAGTTCAAAATTAACATTATAGTAATGTGTACAAAAATGTGACTTCATTAAATTGGAATTGGATAATAAAGAATAAGCACACGAATTTAAAATTAACGTTTTAATTTTCATCCTCCCGCCAAGCGCAGCACTATCCCGCTATTGACCACCAAAAGAAGCCAGTTTTGACGGGAATAAGGCGGAATCGGCAGCGCTGCCGCAAGTATCCACTTTTTCACGGGCAACAAATTGACAAAGAAATTGTAAGATAATTTCCTGTGGCGATTGCTGGTTGCGCAAAAGCCACTTGCCTCAAAAGCGGGCTCAAACAGAGTCCGAGCCGGAAGTGAAACATCGCAGGGAGCGCGCATCCCGTGTAATTAGCGAACTGCGACGCACCAAACTTTTTTTTTATTGTATGCCGTGAGCTGAGCGGAGGTGGAGATCGGGAGTTCGGAATCCAGAATCGGGTATTGGGCATTGGGAATCGGGACGGGAGTCACAAGCAGGAGTCGGAGGCCATGGAGCAGAACTCAAACAGCAGCGTCGCGGAGACGTTTGCGGACGCACCAGCGCCGGACGCGGAGTACGGCTCTGAGAACTGCTCCGGATCCGGAATGTCGGTGGGCGACACCGTGAGCGCCAATCACGAGTTCCAGACCATGAAACCGGGTCCCGGTGTGGTGCACAAAGTGATGCCGGTGGCTAACAGCGCCAGCAGTGCCACCGCAACCAACGGTCGGACGCGCTCCGAGATGCCGCACAGCGAGCTGGTGAAGATGCTGTACTACCTGGAGGGCGAACTGCAGGCACGGGATGTGTGCATAGCCGCACTGAGGAACGAGCGGGTGAAGCAGCTCATCGCCCAGCTGCGCACCAAGCGACTGCAGCCCAACGATCCGTATGCGGCCATATTCCGGGACAAGATCGCCCTCAATGGGAATCTTATATCGAGGGAATCGTCTACGCAGGCGGCGCAGGCAGAGATGGAGGTGCGCCAGATCATTGAGCAGCAAATGGAGCAACAGTATCAGATGGTTAGCAAGCAGAGGGCCACGCACGTGCGTATGGTCAACATATTGACCGAATCGCTGGAAAATAATCAGCGAATGCTCCAGGAATTGGAGGAGGAGAAGCGGAAGCACGAGAACACCACGGCCCAGGGCGACGACATCACCTACGGCCTGGAATTGGAGCGCACCAAGCTGAAGCAGGACCTCGAGGAGGAGCGCACTCAGGTGGCCAAAATGGAGAAGGATCTGAAGAAGCTGCAGGAGACGCTTGAGTACGAGCGCAATCGACAGAAACAGATCGTGCTGCTGCTGATTGCGGAGCGCAAAAAGATCCTCATGAAGTATATTGAAGAAGGTGCGTATGACCACATTAGCTTTGCCACTTTGTATACAATTGTATCGATGGTCTGCAGGGAAACGCTCTGAGGATCTGGCCCAAATCCTGGCCGAGGAGAAGCAGCGGTCGGACACCATTGCCGAGGGTCTCGAGGAGGAGAGCAAAAAGTCGTTGCGCATGGAGGAGGAACTGGAGAAGCAAACGCATGCCATGGAGCAGGAGCGGAAAGTGCTGTTTGCCAAACTAGCCAAGGAGGAACTCCGGTTCGTCAAGTGCAGCCCTTGAATCGAATCAACAATATAATCTCCTACCTCCGTTTTTCAGGGTCAAAGAGCTGGAGCAGGAACTCAACGCCCTACGGAGCGAGCATGAGGCTCTGAAAAAGCAGCAGCAGCTGGGTGGCAGCGGCTCATCCGTGGCCGCCGCCAAGGCGCGACAGTTCAGCGGTGAGTTAGCCAGACGAGGCACTTCCACCTGGAAACTGGCTGTTGTAATTATAAATGGTTGCCCTCCTTATAATTTTCTATATACAATCTTTAACTCTATATATACTCTATATATTACTTTTTTTTCGAACTCCTCTTGAAGCCGAAATCTTTTGTTAGAAAAATGTTACGCAATTGCAAGGTGATTTGTTTTTTGTTTTGTGATGTTCCTCGTGCACTTCACGTTGCACCACCCCAAAGATCACGCATCCGCACTTCCACCCCGCACGCTCGCACCCCAGCGATTGGAGCACCCCGACCAAAAGCCAGAACGTAGCCAGTTGACACCAGTGGCGTCCAGTGTAGACTTTTCACAACCATGCCAAAACATTTCCACACAAGCCAGGCCTTCCCAGAAGTCCTTGAAGTGTGTTTTAAGAAGACCTATGGGCTTCTGGTTAGGCCAATCCGCCTCGGAGATCAGAAAATCTAGTGTTTTACGAAGCTGTCATAGGCAGCATGCTAATCCCACCTCTCTGCGTTTTACAGACGACGCCTGTGCCACGCCCCCCATGGTGAACATCGCCAAGATCGTGCAGCCAACAGCCACGGTTAGCAGCATGCCGGTTTCGGGACCACAGACCGGCATCGCCCGCTCCATTGCGCCGGGCCAGAACATCCGGAGCGCTGGAATCGCAACGGCGCCCACTGGCACGGCCACAGCAGCAATAGCACCACTAGCTGCCGTGCTCAACCACACTACCAACACCACCACCACCACCACGAACAACACCACCAGCAGCAGCAACTCGAGCGGCAGCGTTGGAGCAGCTGCAGCAGCAGCTGCATCAGTGGAGACGGCAGCTACTGTCACCGTGCCCATGGTGGCGCCACCCTCACCCTCCCCGGCGAAGATGCAGCCGACAGCTACCATCCAGCGGGCGCCCGGCGGCAAGTATGCCGCACTGGCTGCGGCAGCTGCCCTCGACCAGACCACACCACCGCATCCTCATCCCGTTCCCATTGCCGTGCCGCCGGTTACGGTGCCACCAGCGGGAGCCCGTGGAGCACCGCCCCCCATACCAACCAAGCCGATCGTGCCTCCCAAGCGGGAGCCATCGCTCTCCCGGCTGGGCTCGATCACGGGCAGCAGTGCCATAGCGGCTACCACCGCAGCCACCACGACCGCGGGTACGGCGAAGCAGAATTAGACACCTCCACTCCACTCAGACTCACATTAATTACCGATATTGGGCGTAGGATAAGCGAAATACTCAAGCGGCGTAGTCCCTCGATGACCGCGCTAGGCAACAGGATCCTCCATCCCGAACTGACCTTCTTCTGTTTTGTTTTTTTTAAATGGTTTAGTTCTATGTGCGTGCAAAAGTTATATGTCTTTCTTTCGTTTTCTATTATGCCTATTTACTTTAAATTGAATCTACAAAAGTATGCAATTTATTTTAGATATTATTTATTGTAATGTCACAAATCTTTTGCAATAGGATCTTTAAGCATAATTTGAGAATCCTTTACACTTCAATACTTATACATTTATTTAACATTTACACATTCAACTTCATTGTCAGTTCGAGACTGGAAACCTAAGAGGTAGTCTAAAATCTTCTTAAAAGTAACAACGTTTTGATTATCTGAGTATCTTCGGTTGCCTAGCGTGATTTGGCATGCAACACGTTTAGGAGAAAAGTTTGTTAAGAATTAGAAAGATAGTATACAGTGCGACTCCCCAGGCGGCCTCTCATCTAAGTTTGGTTTAGTTTTTATTGTTTTTACCAAGCGATATGATATGATACATTTTATAACGCCGTTGGCGGTCCGAGGGCCAAGCCAAGAGACAAGCGACTTTAAATGTAATTCCGTGCGTAGTGAGCGAACATTTGTACAAGGCCGTGCGATTCTCATAACAAGTAACAGCCACAATATATGATAATTATAAACATACCCCACAGATATATTTATATATATGTATCCACGCATATGCATGCAACTATGTGTACTACCCTTGTACTCTGTGCGTTGTTTAATAGTTCTTAGGTGCGTCGAATACGTGTGTAAACTTCCTCCATGTGCAGCTAAAATACTTGCTAGTGTTCGATTTAAATATTGTTCTAAGTTCGGCCTAAGCACCTTTGTTTTCCCTTTGCCTATCCGATAACCGAGAAGTGTATCCTATAGATTTACCCACGCCGTTCAAACTAGCATAGTTTACCAAGACACCATTCGAGCATTCGCTGGGACCGGGCAGGTTGGAGCTGCCCCCAGCGATTGCGTTTCACTTATTTTACAAATGCGTACTGTGAACATCCCTCCAGCCCCCAGCAGCTTGGAATTCCTTTTAGTCAAAGGGCAGCAGCCAGTCAAGTAGTGTTGTTGGTACAATAAATACATAGCAAAGAGGCACAAGATATAAACAAAATGCGTATGAATAACAAGTTAGCAATGCAAGCGATCTATAACAAATTACGATGTATTGGAAAAGCGAAAAATACAAAATAAATTACATTAAAAATGCATTCAAAATCACACCACTGGCATCGTGTTCTCAATGATCAATGCTCGGGCCAAATTGCGTGCGCAGGCCAGGCGCATGAGGTTTAGGATTTCGTCGACGTTCTCCACCCGATAGTCCTTGAACACGGTTTCTGTGTGGTGCTGTGAATATAGCAGAGTATCAGAGTTATGGGACTTCAATAAAGCAAAAGCAGCGCCAGACATACGTTTCCATATTTGGACACGTCGCGTTCGATGATGGGCACCAGTTCGGTTTCAATATGATGCAGAATGGCCACCGTTTCCTTGGCGAAGATTTTTGGATCCTTGGACTCTAGCAGTGGCATGGAATCGATGAGCAACGAGGGCCAAAAGCTAATGGAATATGTTACTGATAAATGTATTCGTTGTAAACACAATATCTTACTAGTCTGGCGTAATTCTGGATTCCAACAGATTCACTAGAAGTTGAGAGGCAGAGAGAAAATCGCGTGTGCGGTAGAACTCATAGAATTCGAAATACTTGGAAAGAAACACCAAGCGCGGAGAGACAAACATTCGGCCTCCGACATTGGCAATGGTGTCCGGGCAGAGCATGTTTCCAGTCTTCGAGTAATGCTAAGCAAAGTACCGATCAATTAGCATGGAAAACTGATCCAAAACCAGCTTGTGATTACCTTCAAAATGAAGTCTGCTACCGCCGTTACCAGCAGCACGTCCTTGGAGCGAATGGCCCATTCCAGGGCGTTGCCATAACGCTCCTTGTCGTATGATCGCTTCGAAAGCACCTTGCAGATCTCCTGTTCCACGCCCATGAGCCCGCGCTGCCTGGCTAGGTTAATCAGCTTGGTGGCTTGCCGCTCGCTGCGCAAAGTGATGCGGGGCAAAAGCAGCTCGATGGCCGCCTGACCCTCCTGTTTGCAGCAGTCGAGATAGTCGATGCCCAACTGCCACATGTTGTGGGACATCATCAGGTAGCTGCCGTACTCATAGATCATTGAGTGACGCAGGGCCGGCAAATCACTGTGGGTGTGGGTATGGGTGCATAAATATAAAGAATATTGATGGAATATGAATTGAGACAATAAAACTCACATGTTGTTCTGATCGAAATAGCTCTTCAGCTGACCACAATGATGGATTAGATCAATCAAATGCGTGGAGAACCAGTGAGTATCGTTCAGTTTTTGAGCATCGTATATAAAGACCTTTATATCGTGATCCATAAGCTGAGAAATCATGCGGTTCATGCTGCAGAGCTCTCTTTCCGGCCGGAGACGATACCATCGGTTTAGCCAGTTGGCTGCGGCTATTCTCAGCTCAAAGGGTTTGCAGGTGGGCTTGGTAAAGAACAGGTATCCTGGCAGGTATGTATAGCAATCCTGCGACTTTTTGATTCCAGCATCCCACTGCTCGTTGTCGCCGGCGACCAGACGAATTAACTGCTCCAGCTCTGGCTCCGTAGCAAATAAACCATTCTGGATCTTTCGTTCCGTATCTACGTGCCAGTACTCCCACTGGGAGTGAAACTTTTGCAGGGCATAGCCCTCTTGGTAAACCGGCATGGACTTCAGGATCAGTTCGGCCGCCTTGAAGCTCGCTTGTCCAGCCTTGCGATTCTGTGAGAGAATAGCCCTCGTGACATCTATTTCGCCAAGCATAATGAGTGACTTGACAATGCTCCAATAGTCATCGGACTCGCTGGCCTCCTCGGCCATAAGCAGCAGATCCGTGGCACTGTCCTCTGCTTGCGGAGAGTGGAAGCGGGCCCAGTCGAGCAGTTGGGGCACCACCAGCTGATTGCTCTGAATGTACAGGATCTCGAAGAGATGCCACAGGCATTCCGCCGCATAGAAGACAACGATGGCCTCACTGAAGCGCCGCAGGCGCGCTTCATCCGTCTGCACCTCCGGCGACATCTTGGCCTGCTCCAGCTTCTCCAGACAGGAGCGCACGATGCTCCGGTATGCCCGGGATATATTCACATACTCGGCACGTGTGGCCCGCGGGCCCAACTGTTGCAGCGTGGCGAATGTGGCATTTGCCTCCGCGAGTACGCTGCGTAGAACGGGCTCATCAAACAGCGTCGTCTCCTGCGCCATGTAGATGAGCACCGGATCTTGGCCAGCCGTCTCTGTGGGAGCGTCCCGCGATCTGTGCGTCACATGCCGGTAGGCGCTGAGTGCGATTCGAGAGCCCGGCAAAAAGACGCCAGTGAGCGTATTGCCGCAGCGGGTGGCTAGGGCATCGCCAAGCTCCTAGATAGATGCATTGGGGTTTTATCCGTCAGAAATCTGATTTCTGCAGCTACTTACGAAGGCGGGAACATTGCTATCGCTCATGCTGGCTTAATGTTTTTATAAACTCTGAACTAACTATTCGTTGTCTGTTATCGATAACCGGAGGCGGTATTTGTCTGGGTCTATCGGGCGCCATCGTACTTCGATATAAATTACTTTTCCTTTTAGTATATTCAATACTTTGGTATTATTGGTATTATTGACTGTTGCCGGTAAGGTCTTATTGACTCCGACGCTGCAAATTCGTGTTTTTTATGATGGATTTGTCGCCAAACAACCAGATCGAGGACAGAAAACCCATCCTAACCGCCGACGGCCTGGTCCAGACTTCGAACTCCCCCTTCGAGCCGACCATATCGCAGGAGACCCAAACATCCAACGGAATCGGTGGTGGTCAGTGCCAGCTGACGGTCGACCAGTTGGACATCGAAATTCTGCCGATAATCTACGACATTGTGCGCTGGTGAGTGGCCATCACGGATTCTGGGGGCTATTGCCCCTGTCCGAACAGTGCCGAAAACCGCCAGCGTTCGGCAACAAGTGCGCACTTAGTGCCCGACCTTATATAACCTGGGCTCTTTGTTTCTTTCAGCGTGGAGAAGGATCCTCTGGAGAACGCCGTTAAGCTGCGCGAGTCCCAGGATTGCAACCACAAGGTGAGTCCTTGGTTCGCCACAAGCAACCATAGCTATATGCTTGATTTGTAGATATTTGAACTGCAAAAACGCTTCGAATCGGCACGCGAGCAAATCCGCCAGCTGCCCGGGATCGATTTCAATAAGGAGGAGCAGCAACAGCGACTGGAACTGCTGCGAAATCAGCTTAAGCTCAAGCAGCAGCTGATCCGCAAGTACAAGGACACAGAGTTCTAGGCAGTGGTAGTACAAAAAAAGAGTCGGGCAAGATGGTGCTGCGGCTGCTGATGCGCTACCTTGCCAATAACGAGCAGCTCATCCAGCGCATGGCGGACAGCTATCCCATGAGACGCACCGCCCAGTTGGTCCTTTCCCTGATGTACCGCACCAAAGACATGGCCAGGAAGCAGGGACTGCACGAGATGACGCCGGAGGGCTTCAAGTGAGTGATCCTCCCATTTAGCAGAATTCCAATCTGACTACCATTTTGCCAATTCTAGATCCTTTGTCAACATGTTCAAAAACAACGTGCGACAAGAGCTGGAGGGAGTGAAGAAGGAGCTTAATAGCAAGAAAAAGAACTAGGGTTCAGTAATTAACTTGGTTAACTACAGCAATTGTATATACGCGGCATGATAAATTTTAGTAAACACAGATGAATAAACATTGAAGCCAGAACATTAATTTCAGTGAATAAGCCTTATATATATCGGGCTATCACCAACTCTGATAGAAAAGCAAGTCATATTTTTGTAGTCTGGAAATTGATTTTATTAAGGTAATTAAGAAACAAGAAAATCCTTATTCATTGCCATTTTCTTTAGTTAGATATCTTAACTCTAAAAAACAAAAGAGCCATTCAGATTGTCATTCTGAAACTTTTACAAAAGAAACAAATAGTAACATAATGTCTGCATTTAAAACGCTTTCAATTTTATCTGCGTCATCCGGCAAATAATTCTAATAATTTTTAGTTTACATAGATATTTTATCGAACGGAACTTAAAATTTCCGAAAAAAGTCCCGTCTCTTTCAGTATATCAACAAAATAATTAAATATCATTTCTGTGAAATGAACTTAGGTTTGAACTAAAGGTTTTCAAATGAGAATAGCATGATTAAGGTTGATTAACCTGCGTTTATTCAATGAAACTTCAAATAAAATCCATGTTGCACTGACGACGTTTGCCTTAAGTCTAGTGAACAAACAAAATATAGAATTTGGTTTGGCATTTCGCACAATGTACAGTGGACGAGAACGGAACACGGAAAGTTTATTGGGGCACGTGACTCTTTAGATTAGAAGGTCGCAAAATAAATTCATCCAATGCTCATTAAGAATTTTAAAAATACTTTAGCTTACAAAACTAGAAAGAAACCAAACTTCAAGGCGACGCGACTCACTCGGTGAGGGCGGCCGGTGTGACTTCAGCCGAGGACGACGATGAGGGATTCTCGCCGAGGGGCAGACCCAAAGCGGCCGAGCCATTGGATGGATCAACACCACCGCCGGACGGAGTCGGACGGTTATTTCGTTTCCGCTTGCCGCCCCGCCGACTGCCACCCTCACGCTTGTCGCCGTTCTGCTTCTCGTCGGCATTGTCCTTGCTGCATCCGGCTGCCGACGTGCTGCCCTGGCCCTGCTGGCGGTGCTGGTTGTTGCTGCCGTTGCTCCCGCCGTTATGTGAGCGCGACTGCATCTTGGCGGGCTTGGGGCGATACGGGCTAGCGGCAGCATTTGGTAGCGGACGTAGTATGTTGCCAACCGCCTTGGTGCGTCCCTCGCGGAAGACCAGTCGCTGACCAGCGCGTATGTACTCCGGCTGCTTGATGAACCGGAATTTCACATGTGCCTTGTCGCCTGTTCTCAAGCAATCGCGCGACATGTGAATGATGGAGGCCGTCTGGCGGATGCTGCCGCAGTGCACCATGGCCTGGTAACGCGCCGATATCGTCGTCGGGTGATGGAGCACTAGTATCTCTCCCTCGAACTCCCAACAGGCTTGCGGTTTGAGATCCTGCGACACCATTACCATGCCCTTGCGCAGATAGGCGCGCTTTATTTTCTTTAACGCGAAACTTGCTGTTTGGCCACAGCGCACGCGTGCAACGTTCATGCGCTTTCGATGGATGCTCTTGATGGTGATGGGCACGAATGAACCCACCGCATCTGGACCCAGCATCAGGCAGTCGTTTAGCCGAATAGTGCCCTGAAGGCATGTTCCAGATACAACAGTACCAACACCCGGCACCGAGTACACGTCGTCGATTTGAAACTCGGCCGGCAGACTCTCGGAGCCGGCCATCCGAGTGCTCAACAGGTTGAGGAACATTTTGAGCAGCTCCAGGTTGTTACCGGTCACATTCGACACCTGGAAGATGGGGCACAGACGCTCGCTAACGAAATTCGTAGCGCTTAGGACAACGTCGTCTTGCGAACGCACCACAACCGGCACCTTTCGGCAGCCCTGCGATTTGAGCATCTTAAAGAGTAGCTTCATGTTTTCCTGCAGCACGTTGGCCGGGCACATGTCAATTTTAGTAACCACCACAAAAACGGGCACTGCTAGAGCCAAGGCCAGACCGAGATGTTCCTTAGTCATGCCTATGATGCCGGCATTGGCGCCAATCTGTGATGAGGAAATCAAGATTAATGGCACGCTACAAAAGCTAAGGACAAAAACCTCACCATCAGCATGCCAAAGTCCGGAGCATGTCCGGTCATGCCAAAGACGGTGGTTTTCAGGTAGCGCTCGTGGCCCGCCAGATCGATGAAGGTGATCACCTTGGCTGAGTTCTCGCATATCTTCACCCAATCCAGGTGACCGTGATCCGGCTTGTTAACCACATTGCCCACACCGTCGAAGCCGAGAATGTCGTTGCCCACAGAGCTGGTGCGTCCACTTTCAATTTCGTGCTTGTGCCGGAACAGTCGCTGCCGGGCGTGACCACGACCATTGTCCAGCTCACCGTGGGTGAGCACGCCCAGTAATGTGGACTTGCCGGCGTCCACATTGCCCACGACGGCCACCCTGATAAAAGGAAATACATTTAGAGAGTGCATTGCTAGGAATTCCGCTTATTTACTCACCTTATTTCCATAAAGTCGGTAGTCTCGATATGCTTTCGGATGAGGAACTGCGCCGATTGCCCTTTCTCTGCCCGCCGCTCACGCAGCTTGACCACATCCGCATCTATGGTGGCCGCTAGAAGATGTAGCGTGGCCACGGAGGCCTCAAACTGTTCCGGATTCAGGCCATTGTCACTGCCATCTATTTGAAAAACGGGCACTTTAGTTCAGTTCTCGGTTGGGATATTAGCTTTGCTGGACTCACCCTCGCCTACGCCAATCTCGTAGATGGTCTCCCCGCAGTTGTCGGCTATGCGGTCCTGCAGCCTCTTCTGGAGCAGCTCCATCTGCTCGTCGGTGGGCTGCACGAGGACATCCTTGCCCCGGATGCTGGAGTAGTCCACACTCATGGCGGCCATCTGCTGCGGCAGACCGTCCACGTTGAAAATATTGCTCCTGGCCGACTTGATGCCCACGCCCACGGGCACGGCCACGCCATTAGTGGCGCTCTGTATGTTATTCATGGTAATCGATTTCCTCACTGTATCCTTGGAATCATTTGGATCTATGTGTGACTGTGCAGGTCGATGGTGATGCTTGATGTTTAATGTGTTCTGGAATTATTAGAGAGCAAGTGTATCCGGTTAGGAGCTGAAGCTGCTTGGAGACTGCTGATAATCCCGACCTATCCTACGCCCATTTGGCTTAGTTGTGCATTTGTCCTGTGGCGCGTGTTTACTGCTTGCATCGTAATTATGAAATACAACTGAAGAAGCCACAGTCTCTGCTTTTATAGCAACCCAGGCGGATGATGAAATCCGAAGCTTCGCATGGTGCAATAGTCGCTCTAGTTGCGTTCTCCGAAGAGAGAGAGACAGGCAAACGAAGAGAGCTCCAGGAAATCGCAAGAATTCCTTTATATTTTTTATTATTAAATTCACTTATATACAGATTGTTTTTGCTTAAACGTACTATGAAGCTATTAACTAAAATCTCCAAAATGTATTTTTCTAAGTACACATAAAGCGAAATAAAAAAGGGAAGTCCTCGATACGCATGATGCAATATATGCTCCAATTTCAAACATAAATAGATAGATATCTAAGCTTGCAAGAGAGGCTTGGAAAAAAGCAAAAGAGAGCACAGGAAGAGAGTCCAAGTAGCTGTTCTAATAATTTCGTTTAATAGTGAAATGGCCCTTAAACATAAATGTGTATAGCTCTTCATCTTCATTTTAACATTTTAAACAATAAGCGATCAAATAAACAAAGCAACCGTTTTGTTCTAGTTAGAAACAGCTGATTGAATATGTTTATATAATAACGCTTTGTTGACGTACACAAAGCAGAGGTAAATAGCAACAAATGGCATTAAATTATGCATTTTTTGGCGTTTATTTATAGGCGGCAAACAAAGAGCGCAGTTAATGCGTCTGTGTGCGTGCCAAACATACATATACATATATATGTATGTACTATGTACTTGCGTACGTATGTACATATGTATTGTTTGTATTTTGGCAAACCAAAACAAACAAAAAATTAGCATATTATGCGCACATTTTCTTCTTTCTATTGTAGTGGCGGCAAGTTGGGGAAAGTTCATTTTTGCCATTGAGAAAACGCACTAGCTGTAAATCAGCTGAATACCCATTTGTAGTTGTATGTTGAACTTAGCAATTAAAAGTGAAAGGATTCGGGTGAGCGCAGGAAAACCAAGGGGAATCTGGTCCTAGGCACTTACAGTTCATATAGCCTTTTGTGCTCCTCCTGCCCGTCGGGTGTGTGTCCCTATATATTTTCGGTTTTATTGCGAATTGTACATAATTTGTTTAGCTTTTCCTGTAAAATTGTTTTCCGTGTCCCGAAGCCACGTACCGCGCGGAGTTGCCAGATCGATGGTGTATCGTAAGTACCTGGTGCCACTTATCGATAGATAATTTTATTTAATAATAAATACTTATGTTGAAAATTAACTAAAATCAAATTAAAAATTGTATCGAACATTACTAGAGCTTTCATTCGTTTTTAAGCTATAAAATCCGAAATTGTATATAATAATTACATAGTCCACTTGCTGATTATAGAAGGTTATAATCATTATTTTTTTAGCACTTGGCATACACACTGAAACTTAATCAATATATTTAATACAAATCTATAAATTATAACAAAATTGTTTTGAAACCTTGAGACCAAAATATTGAAAACATTACTTAAGCTTTAAAAATTAATTTTAACAGCGCTTTGAAAATAATGTTCTCGTAGTGAGATTCATCAAAGCTTACGAAAATACCGCCTACCAAAAAAAGTAACAGTATTTCTCTCTCATCTCATCTCTCCCATCTCCAATAAAGCAAGACAGTTGATTCGAATCGTTTATCCGTTAATTGTTAACTAAAACAAAGAACCATACCTTTTCATATCTACAGTGCCTAAAGAAACGCAGATATGGATGGTAAGAACAACGAAATGAAAAGTGCCGGCGAAGAACTCGCAGAAACTGCACCCACAAATATTCTTATCCCGAGGACGAGCCACAGGTGCATTCACGACGACCTCATCCGTACAAGGACCAGGTTTAGCGCCTGCCCTCTGCCCTTCAGCAACAATGCCCATGAATCTGGATGGCGACAGCTTACCGGATGCCCATCAGCCGCCCGAGGGAGCAGTGCAGTGTGGAACCAACGAGGACGGTCTTCCAACTTATGTGGCCAGAGGATACTTCTACGGCGATCTCCTTCCTGCTGCTTATGTACCGGAAAAGAAGGCTGCTTTCAGTTCGCACAGCCAAAAGACCCAAGTTCTGGGAAACTATGTTGAGATCCTGGTGCTAAATGACTGTGACCATAAGTGGGTGCCCGGACAACAGGGAACTTATCCGCAGGAAGCACTGAACACAGGCTACGTTGAGATGCTTGAGGTCACTTACACGGGCCGCGCTCTTTTCGAGGGTATCCTGCGTCTGGGCAAGGTGCATCCTTCCCACAAGGTCATGTACATCCCGCATCATGGTCAAGAGGTGAACGTAAACACCTATGAAGTCCTGGTGGTATCCCCACTCGATAAGGCCAATTGATAATGCTGCTGATAATGATGCTAATCAGCTGAATTCAAAATGATGAGATTGATAAGAATCGATGATGATTGATTGATGACGCCGATAAAATATATAAGGATATCAGATTTTCTGCAATATATTGTGTGCTAATGTTTTATTCTCCTAATGGCCCAAGTATTCATTTCGTAGAATCTTTCGCAGTTGTAAAATATTGGATTTTTTGTTTAATCTATGCTATATGTATAGAACGGGAAAGACGTTGATCACTACCTTATCTAGGGTGGTGAAATACACCTATCTTCTTGATAATCTTTTCTTAGAATCGTCGTTACAATTGCAGTTTCAAGATATTTAATATTTTATGGTCCAACTTAAACGAGAATCTCAATGCCTTTGTGCATTTAAGCTCTAATACAATTACAAGTTTTTATGCAGATTTGGAACGTTGAACGCCATCGACTTTCCCTCTTCTACTTAGAGAACCACAAATCAATAGCCCATTTACTTAGCCAAAATAGAGCTATGATTAACCAAATAATATTCACTTTTACTAGCTTATACGTGTACTTGCAGCTTAGGCTTACGACTTAAATGTTTTAAGCTATTTAAAAAATTTTAATTCAAATCAAGATTCAAACTTTTGAAAATAATAGTGTTTCTGGTATTTTTGGTATTATTCAAGGGTCATCTCTAATAATGCTGGAAAGTTGATAAGAATCGTTTCCGCTCGTTGTTGTGAAATAAATTTGTACCAAGAGCTTAGAGCCAAACATCTTCATAGCTCAGTGTCCATAGAGTCGCAGATATGGAGAGTAATAGTACTGAAATGGGAAGTACAGGCGGAGAAGTCGAAGAAGTAGTGCCCACAAATGACTCATCGCCTTCGCTGAACATTTTATGTGCAATTTGCAACGAGTTTTTCCGGGCCAACGACATAATTTTCTCAACCGCCCGATGCGGTCATGTATTCCACAAGGATTGCCTCACCCGGTGGCTGAATAGGTCCAGGACCTGCCCCCAATGCAGAAGCACCTGCGACCGACATCGAGTACACCGATTGTACCTGAACTTCACCGAATCCCCGGAGTTCGATGACACTGAAGTGCCCAAGGTACCGATCGATTGGGTGCCCATAGACCTGAACAGAGACAGCTTACCGGATGCCCACCTGCCGCCCGAGGGAGCGGTGCAGTGCGGCACCAACGAGGACGGACTACCCACTTATGTGGCCAGAGGATACTACCAGGACGATCTCTTGCCTGCTGTTTATGTACCGGAAAAGAAGGCTGCCTTCGGTTCGCACAGCTGTAACGCCCGTATTCTGACCGATGACGTCGAGATCCTAGTGCTCAACGACTGTGACCACAAGTGGGTGCCCGGACACCGTGGAAGTTATCCGGTGGATGCCCTGACCACGGGCTACTCCGAAGTGGGTGAGGTCACCTTTACGGGCCGTGGTCTTTACGAGGGCATCCTGCGTCTGGGCAAGGTGCATCCTTCCCACAAGGTCATGTACATCCCGCATCATGGTCAAGAGGTTAACGTAAATACCTACGAGGTCCTGGTGGTCACCCCGCGTGACCAGGCCGAGCTGTGATGCTACTGATTGCTGATATCTTAAATCTCGTATGCCTTATTATATGAATCTCAATATATATTTACTCAATTAATTTCCCCAAACTGCTCTTTTTTTTTATGGAGTTAGTTCACATATCAGTAAGCCACGAGTGACTCAGTCTTGCTTGATCAACAAAATTTCAAGCAAATTATAAATAAACGAAAATTACCATGTAAACAATAAGTATGCAACGCTTTTTAAAAGTTTGCAAAATAGAAACGTTTGTAACTAAGGACGGGTTTCACAAAGTTTCGATATGTATTTGATCAATGTTCACTATAACTAAAAAAGAAAGTCACCCATGGTAAGCTCTGGAAACCAGACATGCAGAGGATGGTGAAGTCACCCACAACGATTGGGGAAATAAATCCATCCAACATGGTGACTTTGAGGGTCTTTTGGTGATTTGCTCGATAGCATTGAGTAGCTTTCAAAAGAAACTGCTTTACTGCTTAATTAATGATGATGTAATTTTTTTATTCAAAATGTGTTAGGCGCTATGTATATTCTGATTAGTGTTTTGAACCTACGCATGATGCGAACATATTGATTATACCTAAACAAAGAGGTTTAAGTATCTATATAAGACTACTCGATTAACTCTACAATTCATGTTTTTCTCTGCAATCCGGCCTGGCTTTGTTGTTCAAACAGAGGGCCTCACAAAATATGCTTTAAAAATACGTAAGCTTGTATAATTCGTTTAATAAATCGGCTGATTGCCTGCACTATAACATGACATTTAATATATAAGTATATATTTAGCTAAAATACAAATTTATATGTTCAACATGCGCTTAACATTTCACCAACAGGCTTTTAATTTTCAATAGAAATAGGATTATTTTTGTTGTTTCATTGACTTTGTACTTAGTTTCTAAACAGTTTGTATATATAAATATAAAAATGAGTGTGACTGTATTTTGTGTGGGAGTGTTTATGTGGTGTGGTTGTGTGTGACTACATTATATATATAATTGCTATTTACAAATTTATTGGCTCCGATGCATGCATGTTTAAAATTGTTTGAGCCTGGATTTGAGTTGGATCAGATTTGTGATTGGTCTAAATTGCTTTGTATTGGTTTAACATTTGAGCTGAGTTGAAGACAAAATAAAAGAAAAAACAGTACGTGGATATACACATCCATTAGGAAACATTTACGGCAAAACAATGCAGGGTGCAACGAAACATTTCCAAACTTGAAACTCGTAAAACCATTTTAGTATATGTGGAAGTGGCTGAGGGATGACTTCATTAAATGAATAAACTAGTTTTTTTTTTCCTGCCTGGACGCAATTCCGACAGTCTCATTTCTGGGCTGACAAATAGTTCATGTACTTGGTGGTCTGTTGGGCATTCCGAACCAGTTCGCTTTCCTCCTTTCCAGATGCTGGCTGGCCCTTTTCCTGCCCCTGCCAGTTCTCCTCGTTCTGCGGCTGATGGATATCTGGCTGGGAGCGGCGTGTGAAATGGCGGTGCCGCTGTTGCTGATGCTGGTGCTGATTTTGGGGCGATGTCTGCTGGCGACGATCAAACGAGCTGGACGCTTCGCTGGCCAAACTGCTTTGGCTACTGTAACGCGGGAATCGAGGACCACCGCCTGCATGCGTGGGGCTCTGATTATATCTATAGCCGCCAGACTTATCCATTTGCGACTTTGGTGGCCTCGGCAGAGTGCGAGCCCTAGAGGAGCTGCGACTATTCGATTCCGGACCGTTTGAGTTATACGCACAGTTTTCGTCCTGGTATCCACTATTTATAGCATTGTTTGAGCGCCGCCAGGTATCGCTGTGTATTTTGTGGTTGCCGCTCTGATGTTGCTGTTGTTGCAGATGCTGTTGCTGCTGTTGTTGTTTCTGGAATCGCGGCGGTTTGTCGTAGGTGTTGCGGTTGTTGAATCGCCCACCTCGCTTATAGTTGTTTCCGCGCTCGTAGTTACTGATATAAGAGCGCTCACTGCGATCATCGCGATCCCTTTGATCCCAATTAGAGTTAACGATACTGTTATAGTTGCCACCGCCAGTCATATTGCGTTCGATGCGCTCCTGCGAATGTTTCCTCCTGTCGTGAATGCTGTACAGTCGCAGGTTGCCACCTCCTTCGCTCCGCACGCTGTGGTGGTCATCCTCGCAACTCACGCTGTACCGCCGCTGTTGGTCGCGCGACCGTCCGTTGCTCTGGTCGCCGTCGTGATTGCGGTTGAAGCGTGTCTTCCGCCAGCTAGGGAGCGGCTTGCTCTCGTCCCGATCCTCGCTGCTGGCCATGGATGGATACTGGTCGGAGTTGGCGCTGTTCATAAATGTGTAGTTAATATATATAGTTGAAAAAATTTGAATAAAACGTAAAAATACGAATGAAATGAAATTAAATGAAATATATAAATTCGCCAGATTTTTTTCAAAACCAAACTTCTGTGTTACTAATATCTACAGTAAAGTTGTGAGAACATGACAATACTTTTTCATAAATTGGCATATATTAAATAATATAAAGTTGATTGAGCTCCTCAAATAAAATTCGACACTCATTCAAAAACACAAAACAATAATTACTTAATTTTGTTTTCTATTTCTTCAAGTCAAACTTAAAAAATGTAAATTAAGATTGAGTATATTTTTAAATTATAAGTATTAATTAAATATTTTATCCTTGACTTACTTAAAGGACCTGAATCAATCTTGGAAATGTCTCTATAAATAAATTGCAATAGAGCTTTAAGTTATATTTTGCTATATATATGTATATATTTATATATATATATAGCTTCAGTTAATCATCATATTGAATACAAAGCCCTTAAAAAGATTGTTATCAGTCATAGTACTTTTTCTATATGTATGATAAGTGGTGATTGATTGTAAGCTATAATTGTAGTTACACTTATATAGTAAAGGTTTATTACATACTCTATGCTGGCCGGTTGCTGGTGCTGCTGATGCTGTTGTGACTGATGCGACTTCAAAGGACGCGGAACTTGGCGGGGTTGAAATCCGCGCCGACGGTGGCCGAGTGAAGCGGAGTTGTTGGCTGGATACGAGAGTCCAGACTCTGAGTATCTATCGTCGCCTTGATCCGCCTCCCCGTAGCCGATGTCACAAAAGGAATCCTCGCACACCTGCTCGCTCCACTTTTTTGCCGACGGCCGCGGATCAAAGGTATCCTGATCATGGGCGGAGGTGTTGGCGCTGCTGCCGTTCTCTGACTGTTGATGTTGAAGCTGCTGTTGCTGTGGGCGGCCATCTTCGACGAGATCCTGGGGGCCGGAGCCGTTATTGTTGACACCATCCTCTTCACCATCTTCCACCACCAAGAAGTTGGTGTACATTGCCTCCAGGTCGTGGCCGATATTTTTAAAGTGGCTGTAAAAGAGATCCAGCACCATCAGTAGCATGGCCTTTACCTTAGCGGTCAGCGCGGGCTGCATGATCAAATGCCGGCGAACGTGGAAGAGCAGTAGATCAATCTCGATTTTGTGCCGTTTGCGCATGATCTCCCCATTCAGCGTAATCTGTGAAAGCACCAGGCGGGCGATCCGAGTGCCCAGCACCACCGACGTGTCGTTCAGCTCGCGGGTAAGCAAGTCCAGCAGGGACTCACCCAAAATGGTGATCGGGGCATTATCCGCCAGTCTCACCCTGTGGTAGTATTCACCCAGCAGCGTGATCGAGTTGTACAGTCTGTTCTTGTCGTGCACCCGATATGCGTCGGCGTTAAGGAAGTTTGTCTCCAGAATCTTGAGCATGGCGCTGCGCACCTTTGTCTCCTTCATGGCCAGTGCGTCAAAGTTTCGCGACGAGAAGAGCAAGGCGAACTTTAGCGCCGTATCACCATCGCAGAGCGCCTTGTCGTTCAGGTACTCCATTGACTCACTGCGTGCGAAAATTTAAAGATTTATTAGTTTGTTATAATAATCAAGACTCCTACTACTTTTTTAATGTTCAAGTATTCACGACAACTGGGTTTAACACCCCCGCTGATATAACGCATAGCAGCCATGCTTGATAAGCGCAAGCTGCGAACTATTTGCTCAGCAATTAACTCGAGCATTAGTCTGAGAGAATCGGAGGGAAAAATGTTCACTTTAAAATGATTCGATGGCGCCGATGTCTCTCTGGCCGTGAATATTTGTATGAAAAGTTGTAAATTTTTAAGACACGCTGACGTTCGAGCAACCTGGTCACAAACAACGAACTCGTGCATACACGTAAATACAGTGCATTTCAGATCTATAAATCGATTTTGAAACATTAAATAAAATTAAAATATATGCAGAAGCTCAGAAGCACAGATTTTTTGGTCGTTTTTTTTTATGAAGAAAGGTTAAAACATTACTCTTTAAGAACCAAAGCTCAAGGTAAACGCGTAGATTAGTGATTCACTTTCTTGTGGGCAAAATACACAAATGCAGTCCCAAAAAATCAAGCATTTTATTCGTGGTATAACTTATAGAATGCTGTAACCTATGGGCTCCTAAATTTAACCAATTACTCATGCTACTTGTTATGGGAAGTTTTAAATATTTTACTATGGTGATCGGTTTTCGACAGGCAGATATGTACATGCAACAAGTCTTGTTATCATATGGTGGCTTTGATGGGCTTGAGTGCTTGCCTTGGCCCTATTCTAATCGCACCGCACTGTACCTTCACCGGGTATTTATATGCGAAAAGAGGTGGCAAATAAACACACTACTTATGATATGATTAATCATCAATGGGCGAACGGTAGAGATCGGCACACATACCAAAGCATCGACTCGTCGCGCACAATGTTGCAGAAGTCCGTCTCGATGGTCTTGATCTTGGAGTTTAGCACGATGCCGTCGTCCTGCAGATCGAGGTTCCTCATCAGGGCGATGATGTGGTCGTAGGCACAGCCACCTGTTGGAATTTGGTAAGCGGCGGGGCCAGTGTTCAGAATGGTACAAACATCCCGAAGGCGCGCTCCCTCACCGCCGCCCCCACTCTGCGAACTGTGACCACTGTCCACCGTAGTGTTGTTGTAGCTGTTGTTGCCGTAGGTGGTGGTGTTGCTGCTCCCGCCGCCACAGTTGCTGCTGATCATGTTGTTGGCCATTTCCATTTCTCGCCGCGATCACTGCCGATTGTTGTTGTTATCGCACGGTTGTTTGTCTGCCCCTTCCACGCACACTTCAGTGTCTGTTATATTGGTACGAGTGTGTGTAAGTGCGCTGGTCGTCGGTCCACCGAATAAGAAACAGCGTTGACAAAGGTGGCGAAATGCGCACGCCAAATGTAACACCTTTTCGCTCAGCTTCCGCTTTGGGGACAGGTGCAGTTAGCTCACTGGGACCCACGGTCGATTGGAACGCAAATAACGAACGAAATTAAATGCACAAATCTATAACTATTCCTATTTATTATTGCTATTCGACGACTTTTATAGTTGTGTATTAGTGGTGGCACCGATGGCACTGCTGTGTTATCGAAAGCGTACGGTGTGCTTTCGCAAATACCGCCACAGTGCTGTCACTACTATCGATAAGTCCACCATGGGAGCTAGATTATCAGAATAAATCCAATATCTCACATGTATTTTCTAATCATTAAAGAAAATTCACAAATACATTTCTTTCATAAATTGAAGAAGCATTTCAGTTTCCTAAAATATATACAGTTCGACCATTAGTTATTAAACGCGGAACGAAGAAAGGAAACATATAGATTTAGATATTGATTGTATTCCATTGTTTTTCCATTTACAAAAACATTTACTTCGGTCGACTTAGTCGTATTAACGCAATTAGTTTGGCGTGGAAATAGCTAACAGCTTAACACTGACTGCATTATCCATTCTTTACAAATACTGGTGTGGTGAATTCCGCTCGTTGGGGAATGGTGAAATCGCCATCAGTCAGCTGTATTTCGTTGGGCGCGCAAACTGTGCGGCGTGCGTTAATTTGTTGTCGTTTTGTAATAACATTTTTATGTAGTTAATTGTGCCAAAATGTTGAACTTGAACTGCGTGATATGCGCCGAATTGTTTGGACAGGCCGACGAGGTTTTTGCCACTGTTTGTGGGCATATGTTCCACCACAGCTGCCTAAACCAATGGCTCGATCGGTAAACAACACATAAGGATAATTCTAATTTCCGACAATAAAATCGAAGATATCTTGCAGATCAAAGACTTGTCCACAGTGCCGGAATAAATGCACTACCCGCAATATATTTAGGGTCTACTTCAATCTGGCCAACTTGGATGTGAGCCGCATCGATGTGGGTTCACTGCAGGAACAGCTGGACAATGCAAAGTTGTCCATGAAAATGGTCGAAAAGGAGCGCAACAAGGATGAGCAGCAGATTCGGGATCTGAAGGATACTCAAAAGAAGTGCCTGTATGCCCTTGTATATAACTTTTCTTAAGTACCGGACTGATTCATTCCTCATTTGCAGCAAAATCGTAGCCGGTTTGGAGCAGAAAGTGCAAAAGAAGGATTTTCTTATCAGCAGCTATGTTGAGCAAATTCGTATCCTCAAGAGCGATGCCCATGTCGTGGATGGGTTGCGCAAGGAAAACAAATCTCTGAAATCACAGATCCAGGCTATGGAAGGCATATCGGCCATTCTGGCGGCTGGCTCGGCGGATGCCGACCGCCTGCTCAAGAACGAGGCGGATCCACACGTCCTAGCCAACTGGGTGTCCACACTCAAACGGGAGCTGCGACAATGCGAGAGCAAAAAGACGGAGCTCAGAAACGTAGTGAAGTTGGTGCAGAATGATCTGCGAAAGGAAATCGAATTAAAGCGGTATGTTCACCAAATTCCAAACGTGTTTTTTATAATTGATGTAATCATTCGATTGCAGAAAGCTTGAAGAGCGTGTTTCGCACCTGGAAAGCGACCTTTACCAGGCGCAGGAGAAGGTTTGCTGGGCTTACACTGTCTCACTTTCGATTTAATATAGTATTTAATTTTCAGCTGAAAGGTTTTGAGACCAGGACCGCTTGTTTGGAATCTCCAAATTCCTCATGTGGTCTAAACAACAACATTTTTGCTCTTAAACGGGAGGAAAGGCGTACCACCATTTCACCCACAGTTGTGAGTACTTACAGATAAACGAAAATATCAGCTACTAGAATTCCGCTGCTCCGCAGAAAGAGAATATTAAGCGCATCGAAGAGTCCACCTCCCCATATCTCAACATCAAATCCAGCAGCGTAGGCTTGGCGCATCTTCTTAATACTAAGGGTAACATTGGTCTGGCCAAGTCCAAAATATCGCCAATCAAGGGAGTCGGCGGCGGTGTGTCTATGTCCAGCGGAACCATACGGAAAACCAGCAGTGATCTCAGTGAAAAGGTAAGCGCAATAATTTATCCGGATTCACACTTAAAAATTATTTATATTCCCCCAGTATTCAATCTTCAAGAAGCCAAGACTGCTGCTGGGAAGTTCGAGTAGTTCCGGGTTAGCGGCCACGACGGGCTCCAATTTTGTATACAATGGAATGGGCGGTTCCGAGAAGGTTGACCCCTTCGCGCAGCGCGCCGAGGAAGAGAGTGTTTCCGCAGTCAGACCTTCGACCGGCATATCCCGGAATCTCAACCAGCGTCTTAAAGCCGGCTCGCTGCGCAACTTTAACCTGGGCAAATAAGTCCACAGCCATGTGATCATAGGAGACTGCCCCTAGTTGGGTATTAGCGTGCGATTGGTATTGAGAATTGCAAATTTTGTTAGTTAGCTAATGCATGAATTAAGCACTAGTAATAAGTTAGCAGTAAATATATAAAAATACAAAAGGCATATGTATGTGCGATTAGGCGGCAATTTTTTTCTCTGCCGTGCCCGTCCATTCCTCGCGCAAGTGGACACTACAGCCGAGGTCGCGCAACGCTGCCTTGATGTCCTGCTCCACACTGGGGTGCTCCTTCATTGCCAAGTTTAGTAGATCCTCAACGCCAAAGGAGATCCAGGTTTCACACTGGTTTCGCGACCGCGACACCATATTCCGTATGGCCCACGCTCCGTTTCGCTGCACGATCTTGTGCTTCGGATGGGCGCGAAGTGCTTCCACTATTACTTCGGCAATGCCGGTATCGAAAAAGGCGGCACTGTGTTCCTGCACCCGAAGTGTCAGCGTAGTCACGCAGGCCAAAGCGGCGGCAACGATGTTTTCATTGGCCTGGTGCGTCTCCAGCAATTGCTTTATTATAGGAGCCACGCCCTGCTGTACTATGTGTGACTTTACGGAGTCATGTCCGGCAAGGGCCCGCAGCAACTTAAGGGCTTCTCTATTCAGACGAACTTCGTCCAAATTCAAGCTCATGATCTCAAAGACGGACCTTAGTCCCCCAGCCTCGTCGATAGCGGTACAGAGTTCCTGTCGCACAGCCAGTGTTCCAATGGTCAGCAGAAGATCCGCTAGCACATTGGGATCCTGATAGGCCGGCAAAAGTTCCACCAAGGGGATCAGCACCTCGCCTGCTATTTGGCGGGCGTGCTCGTGGGCGCAGCCAAACTCAACGCGAATGTCATCATCCAGCACTAGGAAGCGGAAGACGGCGGTCAGCTCACGCACCAGGCGGTCTTTCCCTTTCGCTAACAAGGGCTTCATTAGTTTGAGGGCGGGGGTATTCATGATATTCTGGCGGTTCATCTCGTGCATAATGCAGGCCTTCTGCAGCCATTGAAGAGTCAGCAGGGTGACTTCCTCGTTCTCCACCTTGAGGGCCAGTAACTTAAGAACCACGGCCATGGCCTCGGCATCAAACAGATCCGGCTGCTTGTGGGTCAGGCTGTTGACGGCTTCCAGGGACTTATTTAACACGGATTCGTCGGGTGAGTCAGCGGAGAGCGTTTCCTCCAGCAGGGTGATCAGGGCATCGTGGGCTCCATTTTTGCCGGCAAGAACCCGATGGGCTAAGGACTTTTTGCATTCGGCATCCAAGGTGGCCAGCTGTTCCAGTAGGACCTTTGTTTCCTCTAGTTTTTGGCCAATGTGCTCCTTGATCTTGTCCACCGTTTCGTTGATGACGGGTTGGCCGGTTTGCGGATTAACGGACAGGTCCTTGATAATGTTGGCCAGGTTGATGCCCTGCAACCATTTAAATAAAGTCGGAGTTATCTACTGGATAAATTACTATGTCGACATTACTTACTTGTGCTTCGAATTGCTTGATGGTCTCCTCCTTCGCCTCCGAGGGAGTCATCGAAAACTCCACAACGTTCTCCTTCACCACATCGTCGAAGGTGTCCTGCGATATAACCTTGGCCATGGCAGTGATTCGTCCAATTTCGGCTGTACCCTCAGCAGCTGCAGCTTTAACTTTTCAAATTTTACTTTGTTCTCTCTGTAACTTCCCACACACACACATACGCCCGCACACAGCCACACAGTGACACCGTTCGAATTTAGGGACTGCGGTCACACTATCGCACTTCGGAGTGCGGCCATACTTCCAGCTGATCCAGCTTCGATATATATCGTTGTACCGTTAAATTAAACTCACAACACTCAAAAAAATTGTTGTATTACTACTAACACCGAGTTTGATAAAAATAATAATTATACACTGTCCCATCCCCTTGGTTGGAAAATTAAAGGTAACAATGATGCTCGCAGATTTTTTATTAACATAAGTTTGTATTTGGCTGCATGCTTGTGATTTACACTGTGTATTACATGTAAAAAGACGATTGGCCATTGAAGCGCTTAAAGTTGTTGTACACGGTGAATTTGTAGCACTTCTTGAGATGAAGTAATTAAGTTAATATACTTTGTAGCGAATTAAAAATTATATTGTATCTACACTTGATGCACCGTGTAACTTTATCTTAATGATAGAAAGAAAAGTTCATAGATACATAGAAACAGATAGAGAGAGAGAGAGAGAGAGATTAAGAGAGCGGGACACTAATGCATGCACATCTAAAAATGAAAAGCGCCTAGAATTGATGGCCGCGGCTCTGGGATAACCTTAATTTGGCCTAGCCGGAAAACTTGCAGTTTGTCCCTGCTCATTTCCGCTTTGGCAGCTTGTAGTCGGTTGGCGGATGCAGCTTCAGGTGGTCCAGGAACACGGGCTGCATGTCCGCCCGCCACGAGATCTCCTCGCGAGCTCTGACGGGTCCGTCCTTGCAGGTCAGCCAGTAGGTGCTCATGAGACCCTTACCCTGAAAATGAAATAGTTTCCAGGTCCCCCCAACAAAAACATATGTTTTATAAATGTATGCACTCTATGCAAAAAAATAAGTAATAGTTTATGGGCTCAAATAGCTAAGGCGAACTAGAGGCGAATTAAATGACGATTTCACCAAGGGTTATCGGTACGCATGAGCATTATTCATATTACTGAAATACAAATATTACTCATACGTAGTGTTAACATCTCGAGTAAAGTGAGATTGTGAGAATGCTATGTTAAATTTGAACAATCGCAAATACCTTGACATCGATGAGGCCACGGTGCTCGGTGCGGAATCCACCCACCTGTTGCAGCGAGTCGTGCATCTCCTCGGTGATATGTATCTTCTGGGCCTCGCCGGTGCTTTCCATCCGCGAGGCCGTGTTCACCGTGTCGCCAAAGAGGCAGTAGCGCGGCATCTTGGTGCCAACGATACCGGCGACCACTGGACCCGTGTGCACTCCGCACCGTATTTGAACGAACTCATCTCCTGCCCGGGGAATCCGGAACACCGACGAGGCGTCCAGCAAATCAAGGGCCATTGTTGCTATCTCGCTGATGTGCTTGTTCCCTGCAGAGGCAGCGGGTCGGAAAGTTCCATGGCATAAATTACGCGCATGGCCACAAATGAAATTTAAATTAGCGCAAATCTTTTTGGGGCAGTCAAGCAGCGGGACATTGCCAGCGGGCGGGGTTAAATGACTGAAAGACTGACAGATGAATTTGCATAAATTACCGTTCTTCACCGGCAGACCCGATGCCACCATATATGAGTCCCCAATCGTCTCAACCTTATAGACATCGTAGCACTCTATCCGCTCGTCGAACACCCGGTAAATAGAATTCAAGAAGGTCACCACCTGAAAGTGATTTAAATTGGTCTACCATTATTAATATAATAATAAGTTATATATATACTATAAGTTATATGCCAATAAGTTATACCCAATATAACAAAGCTTAAAAGCAAAATTATATGATTGTTAAAGTTGTGGAATTTTACCTCCAATGGAGTGCAATCCGCAGCTATTTCGGTGAAACCCACGATGTCGCTAAAGTAAATGGTAACTGCCTCGTAGAGCTCGGCGGGCACCTGTCAGGAAGTCAATTAGACCTGGTTAATTCCCTCCCACGCAGACTCACCTGCTGGGTCTGTTTCAACTGCATGGCCACACTTGGTGGTAGCATTTGGAAGAGCAGCGAGTCGCTTTTCCGCTTCTCCCGCTTCAGCTCCTTGGCCTTCTGGGACAGATTAAGTGCATAAAGCTATGGGTTGAAGAAGGATGTGTACGAGATAGTCAGTTAGCAGCGGTAAGATAAAAACCTGTATCGTGGCAGCGGCATTCTTAACCAGCACGATGATAACCGGCGACACCAGGAGCACCACAACCAGAATCGCAATGCCAATTGCCTCCTTTCGGTCAGCCTCTACCAGTGTCTTGTCCACGTACTCCCTTAAATATAAGAAGGGACTTAAGAATATAATATAATGTACAGTTTCCATACTTAATCAGACGTCGCAGCGCCTTTTGAAGAATTCTCAGATCATCAGTATAGTTGTTCATCAGCTCATAGTACTCAATGGCACTGCGCTCATTTGACACATTTGGATTATTCTTTAGCAGAGTGGTGCCCCTGTGAAATAAATCCATTCAAAAAGGAATTTCATAGATTACATATGAACACAGCCTACACACATTTGTTTGGCGCGATGGAACTTCTTGGTGCTGGTGATGTTGGTGTACATGTTCTTAAGCATGGGTGCGTAGTTCAATGTGGAATTGATCATCTCACGGGCCATGAATTCGTAACGCACATAGGATACGAAATTCTCAGCTGTTAAGGATCCTCGTCCATAGTACCTAATACCAAAGGAGGTGGCGATGTTCTGGCATTCAATGCTCTTCAGGAGGTTCTTGAACCCTACTAGGTATCTGTCAGATTTAAAATTTTGCAACAAATGTGTAAGAATTTACAAACAAGTATTGATAAGAGTTTATTTTAGAATTGAATTCTATCAAGGATTTCGTAGTACTAACTGTACTTACCGCCAGACGCCGCTGTTATCTGTTTCTTTGATCTGCTCATTCAGATGGTGGAGTAATCCACGATTTATGGATGTGTACCAGTTCATTACCTCGGTGATGGAGCTCTCCTCCGGTTCCAAACGCACCCGATCTCTGAATTCGTTTAATCGGCTCTGGAACTCGTAACGATTCAACATCATCTCCCGATCATCCTCATCCTCGTCGGGTGCTGTGGGAACACTGATTTCACTCCAAGTGGTCATGTTGTTCAGGGCGTGGTCCGTATTCGCAAATCTCAATGTGAGGTTGGCTCTGTTTTAAGGAGTAAGGGTTTAATCCACAACCGCAACCGCAATAAGACCTACCGCTGCTTGCTGCCGTTGGTGAATATGTAGAAGGCCACTTCGGAGCGTTCCAATTGTAGCCGAGTGACCACTTTTCCCAAGTCAGTGGCGATGGTTACCTGAAATCAAAATTACACACGAATAATCTCTGGGAGAGTCGGACTCCAAACCATCTGCCTTATACCTTACACCGATTGTAATAAGTAAAGTTTATAGTTCGCGCTGTTAACATATCTAATTAAAATACAGATAAGCATGCTTATATACTTCATCATCCTAGCCAGTATTTGGGGAATAACCTTTACAGGGGATTCTTCCAAAAATGCCCTTCTAGTCAGGCCATTTACGACGTCTTAATTCAATTGATACTGAAATGATAACTTCAACCAGGCATATGCTCAATGTTCTAAAAACCCTTATCAAAAACCTGACTTATCGCTGGCCCCCAGCTGGTTAGCCATATAAAAGAGTTCCATGGGCCAGCTGTTGATCAGTTACTCAAGATGTTGTCGTCCAAGTTAGTTTGCTTCGCACTGGCCAGTTTGGCCTTTGGTCAACTTAATATAGTGGCCAGCGAGGAAACCATTGCCGTTTGTCCCACCAACTTCGTCCAGGTGGCGGGCAAGTGCCTCCTCTTGGATGGTAAATGGAAGAACTTCTACGAGTCGGATCGTCACTGTCAATCCCTTAACGCCGGACTTCTGAGCATTGACAATCCAACGGAGCTCAATGCCATCAATAAATGGCTGCCAATTGTTGCACCCCATACGCCGGAGCTATGGACATCCGGCAATAAGCTGGGCGGAACTGCCGATTACTACTGGCAGAGCATTGGCCAGAAGGCTGCTTACCTTCCCTGGCGGGTCGGCCAACCCACTCCCACCACCGGCGATTGCCTCACACTGCTGGCTAACGTCACCATGACTGCCGAAGAGACCATAATGAGCGAGCACCGCCTGGCCGTGAAGGCCTGCACCCAATGGGCACCCCACATCTGCCAGGCCCCAGTGCAAATCTTCAAGACCCAGCTTTGCCTTAATACTAATGCTTTCTTCGAGGCCAAGGTACCCGTCTAGGTAAATTGTTACCGTTCTCGTGTTTCTGAAGGCATTTTTTTTATTATTATTTTGTTTATAATTTTAAAATATAAATTTTAAAATTGGGAAATAAAACTTTAGATAACCTTTCGTCAATAGTTCATCAAAAAGTTTTTTTTTTTTTTAGTTTTTTACTTTTTTATTAGTCTTGTAAATTTCTATAGATTTGCAGAAAAACTTTTTGCCGCGACCACAAACCCACAAACCGCCCAAAACTGCCCCGCCCACATTTTAATAAAATGTTTGGATATTTTTTTATTAGACTTGTAAATTTCTATCGGCTTGTCAAAAATTGTTTTGCCACGCCCACTCTATTACCCACAAACCGCCCAAAACTGTCACGTCCGGACTTTTAAAAAATGTTTTTTTTTCATTGTATTACTTTTTTCCCAATTTCTACCGATATTCCAGAAAATGTTGAAATTTCTCGTTTGCTAGCTGAGTAACGGGTATCTGGTAGTCGGGGAACTCTATCTTCTATCTTGTTTTAAGTTATTTTCGTCATGTAAGCTAAGGAGATTACATTGTATAAAAATATTAGAAAAAGAGACTACAAAGAGTTAAATGATATGTTATCTTTCCTTTGCTTGTTTATGGCAAAATATTTTTTTACACTATCATGTTAATTGCAAAAGTGTTGATAAACAAATTAATTACTTTTAGGAAAAGAATACAAACAAATGTGTCAGAAACCATTTGACAGATTTTATAATCACTGCCAGCATTTGGGGAATCCCTTTGAACAAGGGAACTCTCCATAAGAATATAATTATCCCCTTTAGTCAAGCGACTGTGGGTTTATACTACTACGACACCTTAGTGCGATAGATAACAAAATGATAACTCAGCCACGCGAATATTTTACGAGTCCTTATCAAAAATCTGACTTATCGCTGCCCCAGCTGGTTAACCATATAAAAGAGTTCGAGTGGCCAGCTGTGGGTCAGTTGCTCAAGATGTTGTCGACCAACTTAGTTAGCTTTGCACTGGTCAGTCTGGCCTTTGGCCAACTTTATCTGGTGGCCAGCGAGGAAACCATTGCCGTTTGTCCCACCAACTTCACCCAGGTGGCGGATAAGTGTCTCCTCGTGGATGGCAGTTGGAAGAACTTCTACGAGTCGGACCGCCACTGTCGATCACTTAACGCCGGACTTCTGAGCATTAGCAATCCAACGGAGTTCAATGAAATCAACAAATGGCTGCCGATCATTGCACCTTACCAGCCAGAGTTCTGGACATCCGGCAACAATCTGGGCGGAACTTCCGATTACTACTGGCAGAGCACTGGGGAGAAGGCTCTCTACCTTCCCTGGAGTGCCGGTCAACCCACTCGCACCACCGGCGATTGTCTTACGCTGATGGCAAACGTCACCATGACTCCCGAAGAAGCCATATTGAGTGTACACCGCCTCACGGTAAAGCCCTGCACCCAATGGGCACCCCACATCTGCCAGGCTCCTCTTCAAATCTTCAAGACCCAGCTTTGTCTCAATACCAATGCTTTCTTCGAAGCCAAGATACCCGCTTAAGGCAGCTTTGGATACAACATGTGTTTGATTTTTAAGGGGTGCTGCTCCTCATAAAGTTATTAAGAATACATTATAATCGGTATTCAAACAATTGTTATTAATTAATAAAGTAATGATTTCATTTTAAAACCCTCGCAACTCAAAATTACATATGTGCAACTTAGAAAATGTTTCAGAGTATTAGATATGTTCAAATATAAATTAGTGTGTAATGGGCAGTAGACCGCAATAAATATCTATGAAATCCCAGTTATCTTATCAAAAGTAATTTTAAAGACTGAATTAAGCTGGTGAAGATAATGAATCTTAAGTAGCAGATTCTTTTGAAAGTAGCTTAAATGTAGAATCAGAGTAATTTTCTTATCTGGGTATTGAAATGAGTTTTTCGATGACTCCGTTACTTTTTTTTTATTTGTTTATAGTGTGTTTTGCATTCTAAGTACGTGACCCCGTTCAAGGACTACCTCCATAAACCACCCACATTCCTCCACCCTCCTCATTTTGCGCACTCCATTGCTTTCCATCGCTTTCCATCGCCTTCCAACTCCCATCCTGCACTGGCGACTGTCGCTGCATAGTTGGCATTGCGTCCTTATCAATTCACTTTGGCCTCCACCGCCTCATCCCCCTTGGGCCATATATGTAAGTACGTCCAATACTTTCCGTTCTCGCTTTCATATTTCTCTGCAAAGTCTTCGCATTTGCATTATGGATGGATGAAGTGGGCGATGGGGAAAGTGGGCGGAAGGACTTAGCTGAGTGCCTGGCGACGGGCTCGTGCTCCGGAACCCTGCACAAGGACTTCCACGGCACTTACCTGCGCAAACAAACCATTTCAAGGTTTCCCTTGATGGTCAAGTGAACATTGAACAAACTGGGCATAATTTCCCCCTATTATCTACATACTTGGCGTTTGATTGAATCGCTGTAATAAATTATAATTACGCCTCAAAGAAACAATTTCCGGGTCGCCTTCGCTTTTGTTTGCTTCTTTTCATCGACGCAGCCACCCACCCACTGAACCAACCACATGCTCACCTGTGTCTCGATGTCGGCCACAGCGGAACGGTATTCCAGGATCTCTTGCAGTGTCACCGATGTTTGCACAATCAATGCCAGTATTGGTATAAATGGTAGTATTATCATCTGGAAATGGATTCGCATGTCAATGAGTGAACTTTCGCTTACAGTGGGCCAGTGAGTTTGGAAATTGTTAGCTTAAATTAGTCATTTCAAACGTTTTAATAAGGAGGCATGTTTACGATAAAACCAAGCTTTCCCTTTTAGTTAAGGGAACTTCTATTAGGGAAGTGAAGCAATGCTATTCCTAGTAACCAATGTATTATATGCAAATAAGGCCATTGATTGTGGATACATCTTGTGATACATAGGAAATGGAAATCCCTACAGGGACTAGCACCCTTGACCCACTGTGCCATATATTTTCATTTGCCATCAATATGTGTTCTGCGGAGAAAGAGTGCGGACCAATCTCGGCTTTATCTGAAGCTGATTCCCAGCGGTCGAGGCAAAGCCAATGAATGGCAAAGTGGGCAAAGGCGGTACAGGAGGCGTGATTAGTCTTTATCGTGTGGCCCGCTAATCGCGGCATTCATTAGAAGCACTCGGTGGCTTCCCAGGCACGTGACTCTGACCAGTCGTTCTAATTAAGATGCATGCGCTGGCGCTAATTTATGCTGCTTTGGATAAGTGTGTTCCTCGCACCTGCAGAGGCGTCTAGTGGTGCCCATGGTAAAACTCACCTGCATCAGCTGCAGGCGCCGACCCGTTTTTATGGCCGGGTTACGGGCGGCGGCATTGCAACATCTTCCACTGCCCCCATTCGATATATCCTCGGAACTAATCGAGCGCACGGAAATTTTATCGAGCTGCAGATTGTGATGTGTGGGCACCAGGAGCAGGCCACCCTCCCCCGATGGGTTCACATCATTCACATCGGGCGCCGTTCGCGCTTCCATCGCTCGGTTCGATTGGCAACTGCTGATGTCGATCTTAACGCTGGGGGTCGGCATCCTACTGCCGCCCGCTGGGCATGGGCTAGGGTCAGGGTTCTCGCCGGACTTGTGCGCTTTTCCATTTAGCATATTGCTGATTGTTCAGGCGAGGATGTGTAGTGCCAGTGCCTCATAAACCCGATTGCTGCACTGCGAGAAAATGTCGCGCAAGAGGTAATTTGATGTGTTTCAGAAACTTCTTATTGATTACATTTTAAATCATGTCTAATATGAACTAATTCAATTGACCACTTAAGTTCTTTATAAAAGTAGTTCAAACTAAGAAAAGCAAACTAACAATTTAAATGCCGTATTGCATGAGCCCACTTCGTTAGCAAAGTAACAAAACAAAAAGGAGATTTCGATAGGCTTTTTTCGCAGTGTATAAGAAGAGCAAATGTCACTGGGACTGTACATAATTGTTGCGTGTTCAATTTGTATCTGATAGTTTCACTCCGGCAACACTTGTTGAGTTTCAATGGGGCCGTAATGAGGAGGGCTCGTAGAATAATTGCAAAGAATGGCATATAAGCACATATGGGGGGCCGGACCACGCCCCCACCCCGTTGCCGCCCATTTGCTGGCCGCCAAACAAATGTCAGGACGTCAGAACGTCAGGACGTCAGGACGACGGAGGACGACAAATTTGATGGATGAGCAGTCAAGCAACCAAGCGTTGCGGACCGAAGCGTGAAGGGTGGGAGTTTAGCAAAGGGGTTGGGGGCTTTGAGTTTAATTGAAAGCACATTTGATTGCTGCTCCCCGGGCGGATCAAGGGTTTTCGTCCAGTGTAGCGCCAAAGTAAACAATTTGCGCGATGGCTCGAGTTTTTGTATCTATGTGGACACACATCCTTTGTCCCTTGTTGTTTCTGTTGTCGCAATGTCCGATGGTTGGTTGACTTTCCACACTTATCATGAGCACATTTATTGATTAAAGTTTTAATTGCCTACACACTCGGAAATAATTAAAAAAAGAAACTCAAAGACATGTGAAATGAAATACTATATTCCACATCTGTAACGTATTGGGGGGCTTTATGTGCTATTTCCGGCAGATTCAATCGCCAATCAATCGCCCAGCACGCACATAAAAAGTTTCTTTAATTTTTATTGCACAATGCCGCGCATTAAATTCACACACGACAATGAAAAAAATTCAATTATCTATTAGCGACAAGTAGGAGGAATGTGTCGTTAGGTCCCGCAATGTGAGTTTTCCGTACGTGGGAGTTTTCTCCGTATTTGCCGTATTTTCCCCTTCGGTTTCCGCGATTGAATGCGAGGAGCGCCCACAGCCAACTGAGCTTAAACCTGTTGAGTTTCGACTGTTTATAGCGGGGGTCCTGTGGGAACAGGACCCACCCACTTCTTCCCCGCAGGACTTCGTACACGGGACTCTGTTATCTCGATGTAAACTTTTATGAACTGTAATCTCTTGCACGCAGGATTGATTGAGGTTATTGCTATGCTACATATTTTGGTCCTTTTTATTTTCGGCTGTGCAAAAACATTTTTATGGCGTTATATAAGTTGTTGTGCTATAAGTTGTAAAGTTACGTTTTTTTTTTTGATTTTATGAGTTTTTTAAAAATAAGTTCAGCTTAACGGGTGGTCCAATAAAGTAAGGTAGGATTAATATTGCTATCTTATTTGATATTCATTAATTTCTTAATGAAATTTCCTATATCTTAAAATATCCTTAACGGTTTCATATTTTCTACATTTTCATTTACAAGGAATCCCTACAATTTAATGCTTACATAAAATTTACATTCCTTTGTTGCTTTAATAGCTGTTAGTCAAGACGCAAACCCTTGTAAAATTGTGGTATAGGCTGTGTATATAAAGGCTAACAAATCAAAATAAATAACAAGGATAATGCAAGAATTAGTTTATATACATCTTATTTTTATATATAAATCTTATTTTCTGTTGTAAGGATTCAAATTTTACAACTAATGATATCAGTCTAAGCCAAAATTTCGAATGTTATTCTTAACATACAAGAAAACGGATAAAGATGTCGTTGAAATCGTTGGTTATCGTAAATAATTATTATACATTATTATATTATACATTATTATTTTTAGTTTACACACATTTGCACATTTCTAGACGATTACACACAGTTCATTCGTATTAATACTTCATTGACAGGTCGTTAATGGCTCAGAATTCCCCAGATCGGCCAGGCTTTATTTAGATATCGAGCAGCATAAATCGTACTTTGGCAACTCTGAGCGTTCCCATTGACCCGCCTCTTCGGTCCGCGGCCATGAGATCATCCAGCCGAATCGGCATAATGCCCGCCTCGAGCTAGCGACTTTCCAAACGAAAAAGAAACGGCCGGGCATTTGCATAACTAGCTGTAAAATTGTTGGAAATTAACAGCGCAGGCGCGAGCGATTGGCTGGCATCGAGGCTCCGAATCGGAATCCGCAAAAGCCGGCGATCCGCCAGAAGAGTAAACCTGTTCTAGGCGCTGGAGAATAAAAAACAAAACCGAAACTGAGGAGCCACTGCTGTTGGTCCCACCAATGGACCACCTTGACGTTCCCCCCTCCCCCTCCAGTCCAGACCTCATCGCATCAGCTCCGCAACTCCGGCTCCATTACCATCGCCATATCTCTATCTCCTCCCGGGGAACACAATTGGATCGGGTAACTTTGAACTGGTCGGGTGTCGTCCGCCATGGTGTCCAAATTGATGTTTCAATAAAGCCAATAAATTTATGACTAACGAACCAAGTAACCATTCTCCCATGCCGATTGCCCGTTTCCATTCCAGTTGACAAAGTCGCCGTGGAGCTGGGGAGCTCCGGTACTGAAGAGATGGAGATGGTCGAGGTGTAACGGTGACAACGAGTAGGTGTCGCCATTGGTGCCACTATGAATTAATTTGGACAATTTATGAGCCAATCTCGTCGTCCGACAACTGGCTAGGAATGTGTTTAGGGGGCCATCACGGTGGTCGCTTGTCGTTTCGTAAATTGAATTATAATTTGATACCCGACTCTCCCCCCGTCGCCAACTCCCTAGCTAGCCATCTGGGTGTTCCGATCGCCGAGGCATATATTACCGATTGATCGGGCCACATAAATCTGACACTAGCGACACAATTAGCACGGCCTTTCAGTCCCCCGTGACTCTTAAAGTGACTCTGACTGCGACTGCGACTGAACTGTGATCGTGAAAGCAGCCACCCAAAAGTGACAGCCGCCACAGCGAAATGT